TAATGTTTAGGTAAAGAGTAATAGTTTATTTGAGTAGAACCATTTGATTTCTTTCATAAAGTATTATTTGAGACAAAAGTATAACATCTTCGCATCCCCTGCTTAATGTATCTACACATTGGTTTCATCTTCTGCCCTCGCTGACCGTTCCTATATCTTCTCAGACGGACCAAAAGTTGCGTCTATGTGACATATGTGGAGCATTCTTGAGCGTCTATGACAGGTTAAGTTCCTTGCTCAAACTTTCTGCGTTATTGTTTCCCTTCTGGATTGATAGAGAAAAAAGGTAGAAATAGATTCTTGAGTTGCAAGTGATTCAACTTTTGACTCCGGCTATTGTACCTCCTCCTTTCACCAGCAGGCTTTTTGGGCAGGATTACTTTTGCAGCTATAATAAATGTGCGTTCTTTTCTTGATTTTATTGTGCTTGAAGGATCATACTAGTAGAGATTAACTAATGGAGTTTTTAACCTTGTGCTGTTTTAATATGCTATCGTCAAATGATTTAGCATTTTGGCTATGCTAATTGGATCTTTTGTGATGCTATAGTGATCGCCGTTTAGCTGATCATTTTGGTGGGAAGCTTCATTTAGGATACATGCTAGTCCGGGACAAATTAACTGAGCTTCTGGTAATCTAATAACATAATCTACTTTTTGTGATGATGGATGAAAACTGTCTGTTCTTATAATTTCTCTTCGTTTGCTTCAGGATGAGAAGGCCAATTTACGCAATGAAAGGTTAGGTTTTAGTTCTAGCTTTTTATTTTCTTTGTATTTGTACGGTTTTGGATCTTTGAAACTGACTTCATAGTGAAAACTTACTTAGATCTAAGGAACGGAACAGTAAGGAGAGGGAATCAAGTAAAGACCGAGAGAAAGAGCGAGGATCTAGTCATGAACGTCGAAGAGATTATGATCGCAGGAGTAGAGATCGAGATAGGCACCATGACCGTGATCGTGAACAAGACAAGGACTATGATCGGTCACACTCAAGAAGCAGACGTAGGTCACGCTCACGGTCCAGGTCCAGAGACAGACCTAGGGACTATGATCGCCACAGGTATAAAACCAGAGTCGTGGTTGGTTTTTTTTATCCTTGATAACTCTTTATCTCTCTTACAAATGGTTATGTCAAAATTCTCTTTGCAGGCGTCACAACCGATACTAGATCGGTCTTGCTGTCTAACAGGGTTTACAAGTTACAAATGGTTTTAGGATCCATCACCGAAACTTTTTTTGTCTACATGTATGTTGCTAAAGTTTGGTAGATGAGCTTTGAGAAAAATTTCACATCTTTTTCTTTTACCACCAACTAAAGACTTGAAAGAAGCATGAAGATGTTTTATTGTTTTTATATGAATAGTTGGCTCTCTCATCTGAGAAGCGTGTATGACAACAACACTATTATCGAACGAAAAACCACGCGAATGCCCATTTACCTAAGAGTACAGTGGTTGAAGTGATTTCAAATTATATGATTATTTTATATCTTCTATTGGAATTTTAAGTTTATTACGCTTAAACTAGACCAATTATTTCAGTAAAAGTTTTATCTTTTTGTCTCGATTACGAACAAGGACCTTTGATAACGATTTTTTAAAATTGAAAGCGGAGATTTATTAACTTTTTTCACGTACATTACTTGAGTAATCAAAGCATGTTCGTAGAGGAAAACACAAAAGAAAGATAAGATAAGATACAATAGTCATAAAGTGAGATCATGAATCCATCATAATCATATGGGAATGGAACGAGAGACTTTGGGATAAACATGGGTGGCCGGATGACCCATAATGCGTCGACCCTTTGCGTGTTTAAAGATATAAACCAAAGCTCCGACCGGCCATTCCACTATTCCGGCTGCTACAAACGCCACAAGCCCTAACGTCGGTCCTACCACTTTGCATCTACAAGGGTTTCCGCCTGTTCCGCATTGCACGCATATCGGAATCATCGTTGGTTAAAAAAACTGATCAAACAGATGAAATGTTTGTTGATGTTATAGGGATATGATGTATGGAATATGAGTAGCACAAGAAGTGGAAGATTATGGAGAGTTGGATTGTGATGTTTATATAGAGACTCAAGCGAATCATTTCAATCTCTTTTTAAATTCTTCTTCTTGTTTTTTCTTAATACTATATTTGAGATTTTGATCTTAAGTACGTAGGGTCGGTCCATATTTATTCTTATCTTTCACTTTAACACGTGTTGTGTTCGAGAGAGTTACACATGGGGTTTAAGGTGTATACGTGTTGCTCCCGAAAATCTTCAAAACAAATTAAAACTCTTTTTTTAGGTTCTTCACCAGAAACGAGATGGGCCTAAAACAGGCCGGATTCAAAATCAACCAGGCCAGTCCATCACTAATGGTAACCAAAACATTTGACCTTATCAATTGAAGACTTATTCAAAAGAAGAACCTTACCATTTGCATTGTAATGTGTATGATCTGGTCTCTACCAAATGCATATAGGTGAATAGGTGATGTAGAGATATGCATATACTTTACATGCACATTCATGTCGTTGTTTATATATATGCATTATAAGTGTTATTTTCCAAGTCTTGAAATCAAAAGACATTTCCCATTAATCATAAATCATGATCATGATGAAACTTAAACCTCTGGTTATAGTGTTTTTCTCCATGTTCCTCGTGTTACACTATCTCACTAATCAAGCCAATTCCGATTCTTCCCTAGAACATACCGGAATTACAACTCCGTTGCCGCCACCGCCACCAAGAAAGACTTACTGCAGTAGGTCATCTTCATCTCCACCTCCGCCTAAATACATGTATGTGACCGGTGTGCCTGGGGAACTCTACCGGACCGAGCCAGACGACCAATGGGGATATTATTCTAGTGTAAACCGGAATCTGGTTAAGTGTCTCATGGTTATTGTAATTGTGGGGTTTGGAGTTATAAATCTGTGAAAACTAACAGCTATTGTTTGTGTAAGCAATTTTATGGGTAGCTCTAAAATACTGTGTTTGCATCGTAATATGTATGTTGGAATTGTTTTATATAATAATAATTGTCTAACCCGTTGAAAATCGTTCTTTAAACCAAAAACAGAAATTAATCATTTTGCTAAACCTTAAAATAAAATGTTAAATTTCCGGTTTTTAGTAAAGCATGAAATTAGCAACGACTTCAAAAAAATTTCACAAACTCAGTCATCCATTTAGACCAACCCCAAAGCCGAATTTACGTCTTTGTGTTTGCGACTTTGCCTACAATGAACACAATGGGCTGTGAGTTGAGGCCCAGTAGGAATATCTCAACCGGAGTTGAGCCCAAACTAGTTCGTTCACAAAAAGAGAACAGTGAGAGATTCCAATGGAAACTGACAAAAGATTGTCTCTCGCCGGAAAAACAAAACAGCTCGGTGGGACTCGTGGAATCGGGTTTGTCTCTCCTCTCTTTTTCAATTCGTTCCATTATTAACTCACCACTGACAAAAACTCTTTGCCACCGTCAAGTTTTCTCCGGCTAAGTTCTGCAAAATAAAAAAAAGATCAATCTCGAATTCCCTAATTTCTTAGAATGATTTGCTTTCGTCACCTAATAATGGCGATAACAAAGTAAAGACGCTGTCTTTTTTCTTTCTTTTTTTTTTTTTTTTTAATAACAAATCAATAAAAAAACATAAGTCACGGTTACAATTGATTATTCGGTTAGGTTTATGTGGTAGTCAAATTAGGATTCGGTTTACACTGGTTAAGAGAAGAAAACAAAATAATATTCACGCGATGGAAATTTTGGAGACAAGTGCGTTGATTCAAATAGGCATGATTTCTAAAGGTGTACCCCTTCAGGAATTGCTCTCACTCGCGCAACGCGCACTTGGTGCGAGTGGTTTCGAAATACAGCCTTCTGATTGGCTGAAAAACTCTAAAAAAAGTGAAATAGTATACATGTTGCTAGCTCCTCTCTTATGTTATTTATTTATTTTTTCATCTTCTTCTCTCAGTCTGATGAAAGTAGTTGTTTTTTTAGATACAATTGATTCTATTGGAGGTTTTGGGTTATTTTGAAATCCATTCATGTGACCAAAAAAAAAATATAAATTGTTGATGAGGATCCATCCTCAAAAACCACTTGGAAGATTTTGTCTACTGCCATTATCACATTCATGTGAAACCATGATTATATGATTGCAAGTTTTCACTTTTTAAACCATGATTATATATCTACTGCCATTATCCATGTTTCTGTAATCTTGTGCAGATGAGCTTCTCTTATGAGTTGTTGTTTGTAATAGTAAAATTAACTTAAACCATATTAATTTTACTATTACTTTTTTAAAATTAGTTTAAGTGTTAAGTCATCAATTGAATATAAAATTCTGCAAGCCATCAATTGGTTGGTCTCACTTTCTTTAAAAACGCTGCTTACATAAGAGTTTCTATTCATTTGCTGAGTTGGTTATCATCTGGTTAGGACGGAAATTTTGAGGTTTTGGCAAAAACCATAAACTTGGATTTATACTTGAGCAGCGTTTCCTAACTGGCATTCTATATATGATTCTATTTCAGGGTTTCTCTGCCCATTCGTCCCATACCTTCCAGTTCTTTGCATATTGATCAACACCTACTTGATCATCAACATTGGGTGAGTTAGTCTGATGGACCCATGTATGATACCAGTATATTGGGATGTTTCTAAACCCTTGCTGGTAATTTGTAATGGCAGAGCTGGGACATGGATCAGGGTCTTGGTATGGCTACTTATTGGAAGCATGATCTATCTCTTCTATGGCCGATCTCACAGCTTACTGAACAATGCGGTTTACACGACTTGTACCAGAAAAACAACAGATCATCTTGCTTAAGATTGGTGGTTCAATGCAGCAGCTGAAGGGAGTCGAGCTCAAGCTTTGTTGTTGCTGAAGTAGCATCTAAAGAGAATTAAACACAGGAAGAGTAAACACAGGCCAATACATAACAAAAACATTTCATGTACATTGATGATAGTCATTTAAAATGTATATCTCTTAAATGCCAATTTCAATTTTGTTCTTCCTTCTCCATTTCCGGTTACACAGTTTGCCAATATTGGCTAAATGGTCTTAGAATTGCCAAGTCCATTTAATAACTCCAAACATAACAGCAATTGGGAAACTTTTGACTATCTCTGCAGATAAAGAGTGCAAAATGCAGACATACACATTTAAAAGTTGAACAGAAATCATCTAAATATGATTTAGTCAATAACAAGTAACCACCACAACATCATGTTAGGTAACAATAGCAGTTTAAGGTAACAATAGCAGTTTAAGGTACTCGAGCTCAAGGCTTTGTTGTTGCTTGTAAAGGGACTATGTCGTCCTCCTGCTTTCTTGTTGTGATCTCAGAACCAGGGTGCTTAACTCTGGACACAGAGAGCAGAGCATTGGTAGGTTGATTATGTCAACGTGTGTTGTTGTATCAGTCAAGTCCTCAGAATCTGGCTTCTGCTCCACAAACCAAGATTGCCTGTAGCAACCACCACAACATCATGTTAGGGGCATACATTGTTTTGTATACAAAGAAACCATTTAGAATAAACGTAGGAATGGAGTTGGAATTCTTCACCTTATTAGGTTGATCATCATCATTCATGTTCTCTCTTACCTTTTTGATATATAAATTTTGTGAGCAACAAAGATAATTCTTTTTTTTTTTTAAGATAATTCTTTCTAATTCTTTAAACGTTATACATCAAAAAACCAAAGTCATCGGAAAAAAGGAAACAACATTAAGAATTTCCTTTTTTGTGGTGATGAATTTCCTTTTTTCTTCTTGAAACTAAAGTAAGACGTGAGTTCAATCGAGTCCATCATCTCAATTTCTTCTCCCACATCTGCCCATCGAAGATGATTTCAGAACCAAATTTCACCGGCGGAGAAGGAAGAGATCAGGGGCAGTGAAAGCTAGGAGCACCTAAGAAGGTTTTTGATTAGAGCACCAATTAAACAATCCAAGTACGGCAGAGATGAGAGTGAAGGTATTACTTTCTACATTCTTTTTTTTTTTTTTAATCTTTTCTTTAAAAATTATTTTAAATAAAACTAAAAGGAATTAGTTTAAAACTTTCACTAAAACATTTAACTAAACAAAACTTTTTAAGACTTAAAAAAATTAAAAAAAAAATTAAAAAAAAAATTAAAACTTAAACTTTAAGAAAATAATATTTTAAACTAAAAACCATGTTAATTTCACTATTACTTTTTAAAAATTAGTTTAAGTGTTAAATTTTAAAAACGTCGAAACCTAACCGCGCCTAGGCATCCTATCCTTGTTTGGTCCGTAAGCTTTGGTGTTCGAAGTTCGGCAATGTTTTTCACGTAATATAGATTTAACACTTAAACTCATTTTTAAAAAATAATAGTGATTTTGACTAAAATTTTTAAAAACTTTAACACATAACTTTAAGAACATAATTAATATTTTTTAACTTAAACCATATTAATTTTAGAGAAATTGTTAAAAATGCCCCTTTTTCAATACCCTTTTTCAAAAATGCCCCTTTTGAGAGTCCCTTTTTAAGTTTGCCCTCTTTTAATTTTTAATGACCATTTTACCCTTATTTGAAACAAAATTAGGTCCACAAAATACAAAATATTTTTTGGCGGGAAAAGTGATCCCGCAATTTTTCCGCCAAAACACTTGTAAAAACCTTTAAAATACCTTGTAAAATTTTCCCGTAAAAATTTTTCCCGCAAAAAAATTTTCCCGCAAAAAAATTTTTTTTGCGGGAAAAGTGATTCCGCAATTCTTTTGCCAAAATTTTTTTGGCGGGAAATTTTTTGGCGAGAAAAATTTACAAGGTATTTTAAAGGTTTTACGGAGTATTTACAAGTGTTTTGTAAGGTTTTACAATGTATTTTAAAAGGTTTTACAAGGTACTTATAAGGTTTTATAAGGTATTTATAACTTGTAAAACCTTATAAAAAACTTGTAAAACCTTATAACTTGTAAAACCTTATAAAATAGCTTGTAAAATCTTATAATATCTTATAAATACTTTATAAATACGTTGTAAAACCTTTTAAAATACATTGTAAAACCTTATAAATACCCTGTAAAAACCCTTTAAAATACCTTGTAAATTTTTCCCGCCAAAAATTTAACGCCAAAAAATTTGCGGAATCACTTTTCCCGCAAAAAAAAATTTTTGGCGGGAAAATTTTTTGGCGGGAAAAAATTTTACGGGAAAATTTTACAAGGTATTTTAAAGGTTTTACAAATTTTTACAAGTGTTTTGGCGGGAAAAATTGGGGGATCACTTTTCCCGCCAAAAAATATTTTGTATTTTGTGGACCTAATTTTGTTATATTTCCTTATATATTTATGATATCTTTTATTAAAAGAAGGGTAATTTAGTTATTTTGTACATAAAAGGGGTATTTTTAAAAATGGACATCCAAAGGGGGCATTTTTGAAAAGGGATATTGAAAAATGGGCATTTTTGTGAGTCTCCCTTAATTTTACTATTACTTTTTTAAAATTAGTTTAAGTGTTAAGTCTTAAAAACGTCGAAAACCAACCGCGCCTAGGCATCCTGTCCTTAGTTGGTCCGTAAGCTTTGGTGTTCGAAGTTCGGCATGTTTTCACGTAATATAGATTTAACACTTAAACTCATTTTTGAAAATTAATAATGATTTTCACTAAGTTAAATTTAAAGAAAATAATTAATATTTTTTTAACTAAAACCATGTTAGTTTCACTATTATTTTTAAAAAATTAGTTTAATTGTTAAAATTTTAAAAGGTTGAAAACTAACCGCGCCTAGGCATCATGTGCTTAGCTGGTCCGTAAATTTTGGTGTTCGAAGTTCGGCATGTTTTCACGTAATATAGATTTAACACTTAAACTTTAAGAAAATATTGTTTTAACTAAAACCATGTAAATTTTACTAAAACTTTAATTTTTAAATTTTCTTCAAATTTAAGATTTTTTTGGCTTAATGATATTTAGAATTCTTGAAATTGTCAAGAGGTTGTTCGACAAAAATGGAAGGTCTTATAGCTAAAATCATTTTGCTGGCTTAAATTAGCATCTTCGTCTTGGGCCCGACTTGTTGTTTTTAATCTATTTAAGAAAATAGGATATGGGCCGAATAAAGAGATTAATGGGCCTGATTAAATGGGCACTATATCCAATTAAAATATGCAAACAAAAACGTTTCGTTTCGAAGTCACACACACAATTGACAACGTTTCCAGTGAAGTTGGCCGTCGCCGGAACTCATGGATCGACGACCGTCGTTTCCACACTATCAAATCCCTAATCCGAACTTGTTCCATCACGTTCCTCCTCCAAACCCTAATCCTAATTTCTTCGTCCGACCTCCTCTAGCTCATCTTCAAAATCCTAACAATTACTCCATCGCCGTCTCCGCCGCCGATTTGCGAGCTCTCCGGTACAATCTCTTTTTTACAATCCCTGTTGTCGGAATTTCCTTCGATAAATCTAGCTTAATTAACACTCTTCCCTTCTCCAGAAGGACGAAAATGGCGATTTTGATTAAAATCACTTAATGCCACCTGAAGCTCTCTTTCTCCATTACCTCGAGTTACTACCATGTGAACTACAGTTTTGATGGTGTCTCCTTGGCGATCAATGTAGGGATTTCCCAAGTTCGTATTCCTATGGTGTTCTTTCTTCGATTGTGGGTTCAAAAGCGATTGAACCCATCGAGTTGAGGAGGACATGGATTCTGGTTAAGAAGATTTGAAATCGATACTTGAATGGCTTGTGGATTTATGATGGAGTCTGATGCTAATGGCGTTGGTGATTATGAGCTGCAAAACTACAACATTTTGAGTGTACAGTCTTGATTCAAGTCTTGTCTTGTATGGAGAAGCAAATGGCAAGTACTTTGCTTTAAGCAGTGCATAGTAGAATCTGATTCAAGCTTGAGTAATAAGGATGTGAAGATGGAAAATAGTTCAGGTCGGAATGTGGCAAAATCTTTCCCTTCTTCTTCTTCGAGGTACGCTTGATTTCTCCTCTTTTTGTTGTCTAATCTTTTCCCATTGAGAAATATTCGTCGGAGGGAGAAGAAATTATTCCGATGAGGACGAGCGGTTCGGTTTTCATTGGTTTTGAAATTAGATTTGATTTCGGTTTAGTGTACATGGTTTTTGAAATTATAACTGATTTCGTTCGGTTTGCGTCGGAATTAATAAGGTTTTGATAAAAGAAAAAACAAAAATTCACGCACGCGAGGCTTTTTAAAAAAGGAGCGAGTGTGTTTCAAAACAGGCCATTTGGTGGGTGAGAGAGGGGTGTGACATGGAGCCATCTGATTGGCTAAAAATATGAAAATAGTAGTGATATGGCTCCTACCTTCCTCCTCTCATAATAACTTTTATTACTACTAGTTCTCTTTTCGTCTTCTATCTTTGTGAATAAACAAGCTATGAGATGATTACAAAAAACTTTTAGACAAAATTTTGTCATAGTTTATATTATTAGGCAGTTTGAGAATGAAATTAAGATTTCTTCAATCTGAAAGTTCATGTTTTTAGATACAATTGAGAGACTTATTCCATCATTATAAACGATTCTGTTTTCATAAGAGTAAAAACAAAGGATCAAAAAACAACTTTTTGGATAGTGATTTGACAGTACTTTGTTTAACTCTCTTGACTATTTTAGTACTTTTCTCAATATTACAGCATCTGAATAATCTTCCATTTCGTTTTAAGAAAACAAAGATTTTGATTTCTTCAGTCCTCTGTTCTTGAGAGATCGCCTTGGTGGTGGTGATAAATCGCTGAAATATCCAACCATATGCATTAAGACAACTGCCTTTAAAGCCAGTGACTGCAGCTTTCCATGAAAACATTGTTTCCTCTTTATCTTCTTTTTTTGAATGAATATTTCCTCTTTATCTTCCTCTGGCTGCTTGGTCTGTGTAGAGCATGGTTCTTGGATTTGCATTCACATAGTTTGTTGTTGTTCGCGTAAATGTTTGGATCGTTTAATCTGTCTAGCTGAGGACTCTCAGGGATTCTACCTCTAATTTTGTTGTTTCTCAACTCCAATACATTCAGCTCCCTGAGCTTGGAAAGTGTCTGCAGGAACTCGCCTGAGAGGTTGTTGTGTGAAAGGTCTAAGATCTCTACCTTCTCAAGATTTCCAAAACTTTGTGGGATTAATCCAGAGATGTCGTTTTATGAGAGGTTTAAAAGCTTTGAGCTTTTGAGATTGCCTAAAGAATATGGGATTTCTCCAAATAGCTTGTTCTTGGAGAGGTAGAGGTTTCTGTTGGCAAGACCTTGCTTTGAATTCTTCCAGTTCACTGCTAAGTTGTGTATTTCGATAGTGAAACTGTACATGAAAGGCAAATTCGAAGACGAGTTGAGAGGCAAAAGAACTCACGTGTCAAGGATTACATCAGCAAGGACACTTCGCCTGATATGTTCACTCTTCATGGCAACATCAGTGAAGAGGAAGTCCATAGTCTGATCGCTTGGCTTAGAATTTGGATCCAACACATCCTGGTTTTTCTGCAAATAGCATTTATACAATGAGTTTTATAATAAATGACTGTATCGCTGATCAATGTATAATATCATGATTTAGATAACTTTTCTCGGAGCATACCTGCTTGTAATCATTGACAAAGTAGCAATGGGGAAGATGGACCAGCTTCTCTGAGTAATATGTGCATATTGCAGAACTGAAACGTAGAAGAGAGTAACCAGTCACAGAACATAGAGAAAACTAAGGTTGGCACTTATTTAGTTATTACCTATTTGGGTTATATAAATAAGTTGGGATGGGGAAGAATACTGACTTCAATCCTAATGTATTATTAGAAATATTTGTTTATTTTGGTACTTTGCATTTCTTTGCGTAACGGGTCAATCTTTATTGCTCTTGTAGGTATCATTACAACGTTGCAGACTCAAGACTTGCACAGCATGTTGAGAAAGGTAATGAGGATGGCCTTTTCGTAAGCTGTGTAGCATCAGCAGCTAATCTCTGGGCCCTCATCATGGATGCTGGGACTGGTTTCAGTTCTCAAGTTTATGAACTGTCCTCGGTCTTCCTGCACAAGGTAAAACAGCTGAAGCATTAGGAGCCATCTCTCTGTCATACCTATGCTTGATTCCATTTGTTTCTGGATTCTTTGCAGGACTGGATTATAGAACAATGGGAAAAGAACTACTATATCAGTTCCATAGCTGGTGCAAATAATGGGAGCTCGTTGGTTGTTATGGCTAAAGGTCGGTATTCACATCTGATGATAACTTTGCCGATGAACTTATTCAGTCATTAAAGCATGAAAGCCGTTTCACTCATTCCACTTCATGTAATGCGATAGGAACTCCTTATACCCAGCAATCATACAAAGTCAGCAACTCATTTCCATTCAAGTGGATAAATAAAAAGTGGAAAGAAGGTTTTCATGTAACATCCATGACCACCGCTGGGAGTCGTTGGGAAGTAGTAATGTCCAGGAACTCAGGCTACTCTGAACAGGTTCCGATCTCTTCACCTGAGGCATTTCAACGTTTCTGTGTTTCCTTTTTGAGCACTACTATAGTGTATTAACGAAGTTTATGTGGTGTATATCATAGGTGGTGGAGCTTGACTTTTTGTACCCCAGTGAAGGAATACATCGAAGATGGGAAAGTGGATACAGGATAACATCAATGGCTGCAACAGCCGATCAAACAGCTTTTATATTGAGTATACCTAAACGAAAAGTAACCGATGAAACCCAAGAGATTCTCCGCACTTCTGCCTTCCCAAGTACCCATGTCAAGGTGTGTGAAATGAAGCATGTTATGAAACTAAAAACTTTGGATTCTACTCCATTTGTTCTATGTAACTGACTTGACCTGGATTTTTGATTTCAGGGGCAAAAAATCTGTACATTGCATCAATATGCTATGGTCGGACAGTTTGCTGAGGAAACATGTATGGTGTTTCAACCTCTCTCACTCTCGCTCTAGGGTTTCAGGGATGATCTTTCTCTAGAAGCCTGACAAGGTGTAGCTTCGGTTTCAGTACAATCCAAAGGTAAACCTTAACCAGGAGCCAACCTATGTGACTGTGTAATGAAATGAAATTTGTCTCTATGTATGTAGTAAGTACAAGATAAAAAGAAAAAAAAATGGAGTAGAAGAGAAGCATCATTATTACTAGAATTGATCAAGAGCTGGAAAAAGTCATGCAGTTTCTGGCTTATTTGGCTTTGTACCTGATTTGAGTACAGAATCAGGAGGAAGCAACATGTTTGTTATAAATTATAATGAACGTATAATTCTAAGAAGTAAGGCTTTCATCTTTTGGTCTCGAGTTTTTTGCTTCCATTTTTTGAAAATGTGGGTTTTAATTAATATTAGATCGAATATAAATAACATTGCAAATTTGTTAAGATCTGGTATAAATCACAAATCTTAATAGAAGTCAGATATTTCAAACTCAAAGCATCGTTTTCAATTAGTCTTGAACAACACTCAATCTCCAAATCTTATAAACAAATGTTGAGTCAACATTATGAAATTTCAACTATATAGACATAAAGTACGATCTTAGAAGTCAACTATTTTTTATATTTAGTGCTTTCACAAAGATTACACATCACAATAACTGACAATGAACAAAAACATTGTTGCGATTTTAGTCATTTAGCAATAATCTCATTTTGGACTTGTTGTAAACTATAAATCAAGACATACAGAAGAACCTGTGACTGGCAAAAAACAATAGCTTTGAAAAAATGCTGAAGCCATGTCATCACTCTTACTTCCTCTTGTTCTTCGTCTTCTTCATTCCACAAATATCGTTCTCTTGCCCACAAGACCAAATACAATCCCTTCTTGAGTTCAAGAACTTGCTGACTCTAAACATCAATAACCAGTCCACAGCAATAATCACCTTGAAAGGTTTAGAGATATGGAGGCCAAACTCAGATTGCTGCAAGTGGCAACTCGTTAGATGCAACACTTGTTCCCCTACCAGAGAAGTGATAGACCTAAATCTGCACTCTCTTATCCTCTCTGGCTCAGTGAGTTCAAGCATTCTGAGACCGGTTCTGCGTATATAATCTCTTGTGACGCTCAATATCTCGTCTAATTTCATACAAAGAGAGATTCCTGGAGATGGGTTTGTGAACTTGACCAGTTTTATCTCTCTTGACATGAGTGATAACAGCTTTAACGGCTCTATCCCTCCTGAATTGTTCTCCTTAAAGAATCTTCAGTGCCTTGACTTGAGCAGGAATGATATTGGTGGTACGTTGAGTGGTAACATCAAAGCGCTCAAGAATCTGCAGGAACTGATCTTGTCTGAGAATTTCATTGAGGGAGAAATTCCTCCATAAATAAGTAAATCAAAAACGCAATCTCAAAATTCAAGCTTTGTGTTCATATATAAAGATCATAGATATGGGTTACTGACTATATCTTATTTTGTGTGTGTGTTACAAGGTAGTCTTTCCGAACTGCTGACGCTGACACTGAGGCAGAACCTGTTCAGTGGTTCTATACCATTGTCTGTATCACAGTTAACGAAGCTCGAAACTTTTGATCTCCAGAACAGTTCCTTGTCTTTTGAAATTCCCGACGGTATTGGGAAGTTAGCCAATATATCAACTCTGTCTTTGAGCAGGAACAAGTTGTCTGGTGGAATTCCATCGTCCATTCAGAATCTGACAAATCTTGAAACCCTTGAGCTTGAGAATAACAATGGCTTGTCCGGTGAGATTCCTACTTGGCTGTTTGGTCTTCAGAAGCTGAAGATATTGCGGTTAGGAGGAAACAAACTCCAATGGAACAAGAATGTCTCTGTCTATGCACAGTCTAAGTTAACACATCTGTCACTTAGATCTTGTGGCTTAGAAGGGAACATTCCGGATTGGCTCAAGAATCAAACAGCTCTTCTTCCTGGATCTGAGCATGAACAAACTCGAAGGAAGTTTTCCCAAATGGTTGGCTGATCTGAAAATCGGAACCATAATTTTTTCAGACAACAAATTCTCAGATTCATTACCTCCTAGTTTGTTTTCAGTCTATAAGCTTATCGGTTCTTGCGCTATCAAGAAACAACTTCTCTGGTCAGATTCCTGATACGGTAGGTGAAACATGGGTCATGATATTGATGCTGTCTGAAAACAACTTCTCAGGATCAGTACCAAAGTCTATCTCAAAGATCCACAGGCTGCTGTTGCTGGACTAGTCAAAGAACAAATTATCCGGTGAATTCCCAAGGTTCGACCCTGAGTCATTGCTTGCGTTACTCGATATATCTTCCAATGGTTCTCAGGGGATGTTCCAGCTTTCTTTGGTTCAAACACCATAATGCTATCTATGAGTCAGAACAACTTCAGTGGCGAATTCCCTCACGACTTCACCAATCTCCCATCTCTGATGCATTTTGATCTTCATGACAACAAAATCTCCGGTAATGTCCCGAGTTTTATCTCCCGGTTGTCTTCTTCTCTAGAGGTACTTACCTGAGAAACAATTCCCTGGAAGGTTCAATCCCAGAAGGCATATTAAAATCTCACAAGTCTCAAGGTCTTGGATCTCTCTGAGAACAATCTTGATGGATCTCTCCCTTCATCTCTTGGGAATCTTACAAGCATGAAAGAATCTCTCTCGAGCTCGTCTTCGCCTTTGCCTTTCATGTACAGTTTCACTATCGAAATCTTAGCAGTGAACTGGAAGAATTCAAAGCAAAGTCTTGCCAACAGAAACCTCTACCTCTCCAAGAACAAGCTATTCGGAGAAATCCCATCTTCTTTAGGCTCTCGCAAAAGCTTAAAGCTTTTAAACCTCTCATACAACGACCTCTCTAGATTGATCCCACAAAGTTTTGGAAATCTTGAGAAGGTAGAGATCTTAGACCTTTCACACAACAACCTCTCAGGCGAAATCCTGCAGACACTTTCCAAGCTCAGGGAGCTGAATGTATTGGAGTTGAGCAACAACAAACTTACAGGTAGAATCCCTGAGAGTCCTCAGCTAGACAGATTGAACGATCCAGACATTTACGCGAACAACAACAAACTATGTGAATGCAAATCCAAGAACCATGCTCTACACAGACCAAGCAGCCAGGGGAAGAGGAAGTTAAAGGGGAAACAATGTTTTCATGGAATGGAAAGCTGCAGTCACTGGCTTTAAAGGCAGTTGTCTTAATGCATATGGTTGGATATTTCAGCGATTTATCACCACCACCAAGGCGATCTCTCAAGAACAGAGGACTGAAGAAATCAAAATCTTTGTTTTCTTAAAACGAAATGGAAGATTATTCAGATGCTGTAATATTGAGAAAAGTACTAAAATAGTCAAGAGAGTTAAACAAAGTACTGTCAAATCACTATCCAAAAAGTTGTTTTTTGATCCTTTGTTTTTACTCTATGAAAACAGAATCGTTTATAATGATGGAATAAGTCTCTCAATTGTATCTAAAAACATGAACTTTCAGATCGAAGAAATCTTAATTTCATTCTCAAGCTGCCTAATAATATAAACTATGACAAAATTTTGTCTAAATCTTTTTTTTGTAATCATCTCATAGCTTGTTTTCTTCACATAGAAGACGAAAAGAGAAGAAGTAATAAAAGTTATTATGAGAGGAGGAAGGTAGGAGCTATATCACTACTATTTTCATATTTTTAGCCAATCAGATGGCTCCATGTCACACCCCTCTCTCACCCATCGCGCGATTTCACGCCCACTCTCACCACTCGCGAGTTGAGCGCGTGTCTCCGTTTTCTGTGGGTGTAAACCCACCAAATCGCCTGTTTTGAAACACACTCGCTCCTTTTTAAAAATGCCTCGCGTGCGTGACTTTTATTTTTTCTTTTATCAAAACCTTATTAATTCCAACGCAAACCGAGCCGAAATTAATTTTAATTTCAAAACCAATGAAAACCGAACCGAAATCAATTCTAATTTTCAAAACCATGTAAACCTAACCGCACATCCCAACGGGAAAGATTAGACAGCAAAAAGAGGAGAAATGAAATACCTCCAAGAAGAAGAGCGTTTCCGGAGCAAGGATTAGGTTCTACCTTTTCACATCCTCAGCTACCTCATTTGGGCAGCTCCATGGACATTGTATGAGTTTGGGAGAACCATAACCAATTCTAGTAGTGACCTAAAACCATGCCACAAAACAGAGCTATTACCAAAGGCCTTAAGATCTCAAAACAGTCCACTTCGATAGCCAAGCAATGAGGGAGTCTGAAGAGACTTCCAGTTCGCTGGACTTAGTTTTAGATACTCCAAGCTAATGGGAATGGAAACCAGAAGCACGACCGAGGTCTTCGTAGTCTAAAATAATCAAACCATCAAGAGTCACAAAATTCCCTGTGGTAGAATAAAATATCTCTCATATCTCCCTCGAATAAAGCTAAATTCTTTGTTTTTTTGGAACAAGTTGTAGAGTGGCTCTGTGGTGGTGGGGGCAGCCTAAGCCTGATAGAGGCAGAAGCCGGGGCCACCGGAGCGGAAAGAAGATTCTAGCCTTCCTTCCATATTAAAAGATCAAGGAAGACGAGCAAGAAAACGGATGCGCGTTATCTCGGTAAGCTAAGAATGTTAGAAACAAAGAACTAGGACAGAACGGGAAATGGAGAAGGAGGTTAGAATCAAAGAACAGTAAATGGAGAAACGGCTTATGTCTTCCCTATCTGCAGAAGCAGCAGGAATGGGGCTCTGACTCACCGAATACCTTCATCATCCATTTTGCCTGCTTCTAATTGATGACTGGCTATTATATAAGTGTTGAGTTTGTGGAACAAGTTGTAGAGATCCCATACTTTCTAGTACTTGTGGAGAATCCCAGTAAGAAATAGCTTGAGTTGTTGGTGGAAGTGACCTAGACATATTTCTATTTATAGGTCCTAGCCCTTTTCTTCCGCTAGGTAAGTTGGGAAGTCCAACATAAGGCAGGTCAATTACATCGAACCTCAATTCCATTCATCCGACCAGAGGTGGTAGTACGTATGGCTTTCCACTTTCGAGAGACTGAACCTTCGGGTAGAAAAAGCTAACTCAGCCAAAAGTTTATTTTGTAAATGTGCTTTCCGCTCCATTATTATAATGTCGAATATGCCGGGGTGGGGGACGGGAAAAGAAACGGCTCCGAAGAAATAAATTGGGGTTCCCAATGCTTCTCTACGCCCAATGAGATGCGCCAACCCCGGGATGCTTTACGCCGTTTCCACTTTAAAGAAAGGATAGGACGAGTATCGGACGAGATATTGACTCTGACCTCTCCTACTTGGCGCTTCGGCCCCTGAGAATTTTCCGTACCTACCTTTCTGTCCACAAAGAAATTCTTTCTATTGATTCCCGCGAATCTGGAATCTATGTAACTATGGGCAAAGGGTCAAAGCGTTCTGATAAGGGAAGAAGATACGTAAGCCTCTTCATTCGCTTTCCTTTAGAATGAAAGTAGCTATGAAGCCCCTACCTACAACTTACTTTGTTTGATTCAAAAGGCGAACAGCCCCCCCAACTAGTCGTATGGGGTGGGGTTATCAAAAAGGCCATCATTGGGGCAAACAATGCAATAGCTTCGGTTAGAGCAAAGCCCAAAATGGCATAACCAAATGATTGTTTAGCCAATGATGGATTTCACGCCACAGAATGGATCAAAGAACTGAAGACGTTTCCAATACCGATAGCAGCTCCCGCTGAAGCAATTGTAGCAGCTCCGGCACCTATTGATTTTGCACCTTCTAACATCCCTTTCACACACTTACTGAGTTAATGGCTAACAAAATTGTGCAGTTTTTTTTTTTTTTATTGGTATAAAGTCAAAATTTGGTCATCAGACTCAAAATTGTGCTTATTGGGAAAATGTCAAAAATTGTGTCATCAGACTCAATAAAACGTTTGAGCAGATGAATCATGACCATCCCGTTTCCAAACCGGTTCAACTCCACCAAACAGGTAATCTCATAAATTCTCAATACCTGATGAGTCTTCTGGTGCTACATGAGCTTTTTGTGTCCGATGAGCTAAACATAGACGATACACTTCCAGACCAGTCCACAAACTGTTATTCATGTCTCTATCTTTGTTGCTGCTGTGTTTTGACGGAATTCTTTCTTTTGATTTCCGACCACCATTCTTGCTCACCGGTCTCGGAGAATCTCTGCCAAAGAAGAGGATTTCCTCAGATATTACTAGTAAATTAACAAGAGTTGGGTTTTTATGATGTCTGTCTCTTTATATTCATTCACCTTGCATAAAGAAGCATGTATACTACATTTAGTCACCAAATCACCAGCTCTGGTATTGACCAGTCTAAATCATGCACTTCTATCAATACTTATCGCACTAACCTAACTTGTGTCAGATTGGTAAGGCGATGAAATGTGTACTAGATAATATAAGTATTACCTATCTGAGACATAGTCAATGAAGGCAGAAACATCTTCTTCTGGCTGATTTTTTATGCTGTCATTTTCTTCAATTACTCCAGGATAATTGGAAGCAAGATTGAAGTAACACATTGTTGGCATTGAAGTTTCGACCAAATACAGATTCAGAGCTTTGGTCACACTTGTGTAAGCTTTTAAAACTTCTGAAGGAGTCTTTGTTGTCATCTGATCAACGGCATGAACCACATTCTGAAGCTCCTCGTCGCATATGGCTTTATAAATCATCCTCTGCCTGTTCACTGAGGATTTCCCTTGAACGCCGCTGATACCATGTTAATGCTGCACCAGAACAATGAGACATCAAGCCAGAGTTATTTTAACACATAACTGTTACAAAATTTGATCCATTTTTCACTAAAGAAGATGGGCTCTAAAGTTGCGGGTGCTTAGTAAAAAATGTGGTCCATCTTCATCTCAGAAACACAACTCTCCAACACACAGAAACTTGGAATTGTATAAACTTTAAGGTATGTTATTGACAGAAGAATAAAGAACAACAAAAAAGCTCTAAATGGTACTAAAGTCAAGACACAGTTGCTAAGAATATTACCTTGGAGTGAAGATATCCACCAAACGTAAGGCCTACTAAAGTTCTTCAGCAAACGGACCAGCTGCATGAGCCTCTTTGAGAAAAGTAGATTGCATATTCTCAACAGTACACCTGGCATTCTTTTGAAAGAACAATGTAACCCTCCTTTGCAAAAATATTGACCTTTGAAAAACCGATAAAAGTTACTAAAAGCATAACCCATATGGTTCACCTTAAAAACTCGTGTGCGTCTTCTTCTTTTCCAGGGCCAAGATTCTTCCCAATCTTTTGTAATTTAGATAAGATCTTGATAGGTGAAAGAGGATATTCTCCTCCCCTTGCCTTTAAAATTAAGTGTTCAAACTCACAAACAAAACACCAACTCATTCTTTTACCTGAAACACCAACTATCAAGATAAGATTCCACATAGTTTCAATAAGAGCGGTAAAAGTTATTTTGGCGTTCTACTCGCATGTTTTAGAGTGTAATCCCCTAATAAGGTATGATAATAGCAGCTGAGTGAATGCCAGGCACTGAAGGAAAGCATTTGCATAACAACTACAAAAGTAATAATATAAGTGATAAGCATAAATATACTTAAGAGAGAAGAAGTACATTAAAAAATTGTCAGTCAACAACTTAATAGTATTTCTCTTAAACTACTATTGCTAAAAATCATCATGCTATAAGCAAGAAAAGTTAAAGATAGATCGAGATGTACCTGTTCCATAAGTTCACAAGGCCATATGGCTGTAATTCTACTCTATGATCACAATAAAGTTTCACAAACAACAAGTCATACGAGAAGCTCATCTGCAAAAGAAAACAGAAACATGAATGGGATAATGGCAGTAGATATATAATCATGGTTTAAAAACTGAAAGTTTGCAATCATATAATCATGGTTTCACATGAATGGGATAATGGCAGTAGACAAAATCTTCCAAGTGGTTTTGTCGATGGATCCTCATCAACCATTTGTATTTTTTTTGGTGACATGAATGGATTTCAAAAGCAACCCAAGACCTCCAATAGAATCAAATCATCAATTGTATCTTAAATGAGATTGAGAGAAGTCAAATTGTATCGACTAGAATCAATTGTATCTAAAAAAACAACTACTTTCATCAGACTGAGAGAAGAAGATGAAAAAATAAATAATAACATAAGAGAGGAGCTAGCAACATGTATACTATTTCACTTTTTTTAGAGTTTTTCAGCCAATCAGAAGGCTGTATTTCGAAACCACTCGCACCAAGTGCGCGTTGCGCGAGTGAGAGCAATTCCTGAAGGGGTACACCTTTAGAAATCATGCCTATTTGAATCAACGCACTTGTCTCCAAAATTTCCATCGCGTGAATATTATTTTGTTTTCTTCTCTTAACCAGTGTAAACCGAACCGAAAATCAATTCTAATTTCAATAAAATGTAAACCGCATCGAAATCAATTACAATGTCAAAACCAATGTAAACCTACTAACCGCTTGTCCTCATCGTCGATCCCTCCGACGAACACACCACATCCAATGTCAAGAACAACATAGCTGATATAAGGAATCATCTAGACATACAAGCACAAAAACACAGTAACTTCAGATTCAATAGTGAACACAGATACAAATAATTTCACATTGAAATCGATTAACCTGGGAGATCTGATCCATGAGCTCCATGTCTAGACTGAGTACCACCACCAGGAAACTTGAATTTGGCATTCTCTTTATAAACCCAAATTTTGACCACCCTACAAGTTTAGTATGGTTGAACCACACCTGTAAACAAAATCAGAAACTATCCTTAATTTGGGATTACAAAATCAAAACCAAAACATCTCTGCTTCACAGATACCTCATCTCCGAACAAGGAATGTACTCCGTCATATTTTCCCAACACATCTCGAATTGCCTCACACTAACTCTACCCGTGGTGGATTCCCCAACGTCTCCGCCGACTCAGCGTCGTAATCCCCAATCTGGAACTCATCAGACATTCTTCCGTTCTCATTAACGATCCCAAACACCGTCAGCTCAACAGAATCTGGCGGCGGCGGTGGTGACATAGACGGAGCCAAAACCGGGTGACTCTGGTTTGCTAAACCAGAAATGTTATAGTTCTTTCCGAAATCAGTGAGAGTGCGACAATGGGCCCAATTTAGGACATGCAAATGCAAGAACTCCACTATCAAATTAACAAATCATATAAACGAAAGTCAAAGTATAATATCTTTGTTACTTTCTTAACAACTTCTAAGTATCATATCAGTATCATAGTAATCCAAGAAATTAATAGAACCAAATAACTCTCTTTTATAAGCAAAGCCATAAGTTTTTTTTTATTCCTCAAATGTTTTTTCCATAAAATGATAAATTTACGCTACAAAACAAAATCGTCTTTTTTATTTAATTAAATCGCGATAGAAGCCCAGTCCAGAATACACTGTTTATTGGATTTTTTAAAAAACATATATTTAATTTCATTTTGTCTTCACAGAATATTTAATCTAATTTCTATGTACTATATACTTAACAACTAATCGGAGCACTAAGGATATAATAAATAAAATCGCTTATTAGAAAGGCAAAACAAGAATTATATCATCAGATTTCCATTTCTTCCCCAATCTTCTTCATATCCTTGAAGGAGAGTAAGAGAGTCCGATCCAAAACCCTAAACCCCATTTCCCGCGGATTTTCTCCCAAGCTGATTCGGAGACCAAATGGGAGATCCGTTGGAGAGGTTGGGTTCACAGGCCTCAATGGCTACTGAGTCTGGCATGAAGGAGGACTTGTGTTTAGAGATCGATCCTCCGTTAACTGAATCCGTTGCCACCGCTGAAGATTGGCGTCGTGCTCTCGGTAAGGTTGTTCCCGCCGTCGTTGTACTCCGCACAACGGCTTGTCGCGCCTTCGATACCGAGTCCGCCGGTGCTAGCTATGCTACTGGGTTTATCGTTGATAAGCGACGTGGGATCATCCTCACCAATCGCCATGTGGTTAAGCCAGGTGCGCCTTTTGACTTGTTGAGAAACGAGTTTAGGGATTAGCTGGGTTTCAAGAAATTCGTAAGTGATGTTATTGTTGTGGAACTGTACAGCTCATGATGGTTTCTCAAAGTATTTCTTTTAGGATTGTGCGATTCCATTGGTATTACCTGTTTGATTTAGGTGGTCCAGAATAAAGATTCGAGTTTTATCTAGAATGGCTTAGCTCGGCTTGGAAAAGACTGTTCTGATTCTAATTTCTAGGTCGATATGGAGATATTTTGGTCATTCCTTCTGGGTTTGAGTAGACACAGAATCTCTTTAGTGTTCAGTAAAATTGATTTGTATATTCTTTCTTCTTATGTAGGCCCAGTAGTTGCTGAGGCAATGTTTGTCAACCGCGAGGAAATCCCAATCTATCCTGTATACAGGGATCCGGTAAGTCATTTCGGTTTTCTCCTTTTTCCCGCTTCCCTTCGAGTATGAGTGAACTAGCACCACAGTCCAGAACATCTTTGTTTGGCAGAGGCCGTGGTTTCGCTTTTGTACTGTTACGTTTCCATATCGTACATGCGGTTTATGTTTCGTTCACATGAGCATGCATCTGCAGGAGCTAAAATTTGTGTCTCATCTTATTTTTTTTACTTTTCTCCCTTCTCGACTTGTCCATTGTCATCAGGCTGACATTCTTTGGTATTCTTTTCAGGTCCATGACTTTGGCTTCTTTTCTTATGATCCCAGTGCGGTACAGTTTTTGACTTATGAAGAAATTCCTCTTGCCCCAGAGGCGGCTTCTGTTGGACTCGAAATTAGGGTTGTTGGAAATGATAGCGGAGAAAAGGTAAGATTCATAGGGTGGCGGATTCCTTTGTATTTTAGACTGTATTTTTCAGTTTGATGTTATAAAAGCAGTCACTTACTCAACTTAGCTGTATCTCAATTTAAATTTTGATTAGGTCTGAACTGTCTATCTATTGTTCAAGTTAGCTAAGTTTTCTGTCAAATGTCAAACTTAGGTTGCAAAAAAAAATGCATTTTAATATATGTTTGGTGCATTAAGACGCATTTATGGATAAGTAATGCTTCTGGTAACTGGGGTGTTGATTTGCAGGTTTCCATACTTGCTGGTACTCTTGCGCGGTTGGATAGGGATGCTCCACATTACAAAAAGTATTTCTGCTTCACTGCTCATGTTTTTTTAGTTCTGCTTATTTCTCAACATGAAAATTTTTTATATTACTTGATACTTGCATGAAATCTTTGTAAATTCATATAGTAGTAATTTTTGAACTAGTAATATATCACCGGTACCTTCTATAGTTTCTTATGGCTACTTGCTTTGTAATTTGTTTTATTTTTTTGGTGCAGGGATGGTTATAACGACTTCAATACGTTTTATATGCAAGTAAGTGATTATGTCCTCTTTAATATTTATTGCTTTAAATTTTAGTCACTAGCTTACTTTGAACTAAATTGCATGCTGTCCCCCTGTGTCAAAACCTTGTTTTATCTTTTTAGTCGTGTCATGCTTATTGTTAATCCCTGTTTCCACAACAAAATGTGTCTCTCACTCGTATTTACTTTAAAATATCACGAGTCTACCAACTAGGGTAAAAAATTCTTGTTTGTAGCTTATTGTGCAATACTTAAGTATGTTATGCTACTGTTATTCAAAGTGTAAACCTTACACATACGAATTGTTTGCTAATATTGTTATCTGTGTTTATAGGCAGCATCAGGTACTAAAGGTGGTTCAAGTGGTTCTCCCGTCATTGATTGGCAAGGCAGGGCGGTAGCTTTGAATGCTGGCAGCAAGTCGTCAAGTGCATCAGCCTTCTTCCTACCACTTCAACGAGTGAGCAATCTCTCTTTTTCATTTACTCGTATCGATGGTTCAGTTACGACTAGAATCTAGATGGTGTAACTTATTTAGTCACTGAAATAACCCCAGTAAATTCAGAAGATTAGATTGTTGTGTAGCTTTTCTGTCAAAGTTAAGAATTGATAAAAGTGTATAGAGCCTCCATTAGAGGGTTGTTAGTGTGCTTGGTCTTCCGAAAAATAGTTCATGCTGGAAGTGCGTACAATGTTACAAATAAACTACACTTATACTTAAGATCTCTTCTTTTCATGTATGGGAAAATTAATAAACTACAGTATCTAGTAGGAAACATTGATAAAGTCAGACATGGTTCTGGATCTCATTTTTAGTGTTCTTTATAAATCATTTCGTAACCCAACCCATATATTAATTTGAAGTTTAGTTAGAAATTTGCTTAGGACTTTTGATCAAGAATGGTTCTCTTGTTTGGAAGGTTGTTAGGGCGTTAAGTTTTCTCCAAAAAAGCATTGACTCGCGCACAGATAAGCCAAAAGCAGTTCATATTCCTCGTGGTACGCTTCAGGTTTGTTTTTCCCTCTCTGATTTTGAGACTCTTCATAATGTCGTTACGAATTTCCGCGAATATCAACTTTTGACTCTTTTTTTAAATAGCTGGGTTCAGTTTTTTTTCCGAAAAATTACCCATACCATTACATGTACATGGTAAGTCAATTAAATGTATGTGATATGAATGTTGTGTTCAAATCCTAGAGGGAAAATGTATACCTTGAAAATCGTGAAGATTACTTGATATGTGAATGACCATGGACCTTTGATCTGGATTACTGTGGCTGGTGATAGAAAGGTTATCCTTGGGATCTGAAATAGTTCATGGTTTTATTTCTATTCACTTTCGAACGATTGTTAGATTTGAGATTCAGAGGAAGTTCAATCTCTCTTACTTAATTATTAGTTCTGGGGGTTGCTCATACATAAGCTTTTATCTGTTTTCTTGTGTACTTTAGATGACATTTCTTCATAAAGGATTCGATGAGATACGGCGACTTGGTCTCAGGAGTGAAACTGAACAGGTACATACTTTTCCTTCTTACCATCATGTAGGGCATCAGCTTTCCTCGTGATGCACACTGAAAAATTCTATATCTTGACCATGTAGGTGGTTCGACATGCATCTCCAACTGGGGAAACGGGAATGCTTGTTGTCGACTCTGTGGTGAGTGCATTGCTTCATTAATAACATACAATACAATAATTATTTTCAAAGAATATGGCTATTGTTTAAGCGACCGTTAAATTCGAACCTTTTTATCCTATATATGATATGTCTTGACATGTGGTAGGTTCCAAGTGGCCCTGCTGATAAACATTTGGAGCCGGGAGATGTTCTTGTTCGGGTGAATGGGACAGTAAGTTTTCTTGATTGCATCTTCTTAGTGAGGATTTTTATTCTGTTTGCCTCAAGTAATCGAGAATTGTGATATCTTTTGCGGCAACATTAGTAAAGAAATGTATAGTTTAGAGATTAGTAATTACCTGGCCACAGAACCTATTAATCAGTGCACTTACATTGTCTAGCTCCTTTTTTTCCTCAGTTTGCTAAATCTTCCTTTATGCGTTTGATTGTTATCACAGGTGCTCACACAATTTTTGAACTTGGAGAATCTGCTTGATGACGGAGTTGGCCAGATACTTGAACTGGAGATTGAAAGGGGTGGACAACCACTATCTGTTAGTGTATCAGTGAGTTCCATTCTTCTATTTCTAACTTTGGTTTCACGTTCCCAGTAGTCTTCTAGGATTTTTTGTTTAGTTTCTGTCCAGTCACATACTGACTAGAAAAGTAGGAGTCTATGCAAAGACTAGAAGTAAAATATATGTAGCCGTCTCTTCTCTTTTCTTTTGGTCATTAAATTTGCTCTTGTAGCTCTTTTCGTTTCCCCAGATAGATGGAGTTCTTCAATTCCTCACATGTAATTTTCATTTAGGATTCTGCTTTAATGTAATTCATACTTTTGTCTATCATAAAAATCAAGAGCCTTATGTGTTTCTGTATTTCCTGCCACAGGTACAAGATTTACACTCAATCACTCCAGACCACTTCCTGGAAGTAAGCGGTGCTGTAATTCATCCGTTGTCTTATCAGCAGGTAACTTAACTATGACTTGAAAAGATATTATCTGGAAATCTCTGTGCCTCCATGCATGATATTCTTGTGCCCTACATGTGGAACTGTTGTGTTTATTTATGGCTTAGGGTTTACTGTCAGGGTATAATGTTTAGGGTTAGGGTTTATCCGTCATTGAATTTGCATACTGATCTTGGAACTCTTTAATGTACTATTAGTTGGAGAATCGTATCAATATGCTACATATTATATTCATTATAAATGCTTTGGATCGACTTTATCCCCCACACTGTCTTGCTAGATCTGATTATGGAAGCATAACTAAGTGAGCTAGTGAAATGACTACACTACCTCCTACTGATAGAGAAGCTTACACGTATTTCACTGACACTTACTTATGGGCATTAGCTGATCTTAAAATATTGTGATTTAACAGGCTCGCAATTTTCGTTTTCCTTGTGGCCTGGCATATGTTGCGGACCCTGGGTAAGCCCCTCTACTTCCACCATCAAAATTTTCACATTTTCTTGATTTATTCTTGACTGATGAATATTCTTACATGGGAGCTTATTGTTAATGTAAATGATTACGTGTCTCTGTATTTATGGATTTACTTGGAAGAGCTCTTTTCTATTCAGATACATGCTATTTAGAGCTGGGGTCCCTCGACATGCTATCATAAAGAAGGTTGCTAATGAGGACATTTCCGGTCTTGGAGATTTAGTATCTGTTCTTTCAAAGCTTTCTAGGGGTGCTCGTGTTCCCTTGGAATATATGTCTCACAATGATCGTCATCGCAAGAAGGTGATATTTCTTGTTTAAACAATCTTTTTGCTAAACTTCCTTACCCACTGTAAGCATATACTTGTCAAAACTTGATGCTAGCATTTATATATGATATTTTTCTTAGGCTACTCCATATCAGCATCTTCATTCTTGCAAACAGTTTGTTGATTCTGTGATAATATTACCTCTCTTCTCGGTCTTCCTACTTCCTAGTGTGTGAAATTTTGTGCTACTGCAGTGCTGCTAGATCTCTGTGATCACTTTTTATGGAAAAACATTATCTTTAAAACTATGAATTTCACTGTGGATCTTTTTGCGTTAGCACCGTTCCTGTCATTAACATGCTTGCTGTCCATGTTTCGTTTGAACTCTAAGCTAATACTCAAACGAGAAGTACTTATTGTCGGGTTCCATTTCCTGCAGTCTGTGTTAGTCACGATTGATCGTCATGAATGGTACGCTCCTCCTCAGTTGTATACCCGTAATGACAGCTCTGGTTTATGGGATGCGAAACCTGCAATTGAACCTGCTTCTGTTTCACCGTCTATTGGTAATAATGGCTTGCCTATAAGCCAAGATATTTCTCTATGCCATCACGATACAGAACCCATGCATGAAGTGAATGTTCGTGGGGTTACTGATATTGCAGCTATTATGGAAGCCTCTAGTGGGGATGGTTCTCAGAATGATTTTGGCTCAGAAGCAAAGAAACAAAGAGTTGACGATGAAACTTTAGATGGGATTGCTTCAAATGGTTCCTTATATGGCAGTGAATTTAAATCTGATGATGCAATGGCAACAGATAGTACAGTTTTAAGAGACTTCGAAGGTGCAACAGCACTGCCTGCTAATGCTTCATTGGCTGAGCGTGCTATTGAGCCTGCTCTTGTCATGTTTGAGGTAAAGACTAAAACTTTTCTCAAAGTTATCAGTTTCACCAGCTGTTGAGATTTAATACTTTTATGTGGTGTGCTATTTCTTACTGTTTCTTTCTTGGTTCTTAATGGTCATTTGATTTTTCATTCACAACGTTTGATAATACTTAGTAACTTTGGGTGTAGCAGTTGATTCTATTAATTTGCACAGAAGATGGGTGTGTCACTGAACCTGTATAGAATAGTATACAATATTGACTTCAAGGTTCAGAGTTCCTACATCATCAAAGAGTACAAATTGATAACACAAAGTAGTTACTTAAATTAATTGATAACACAAAGTTGTTACTTAAATTATTTCTCAAGAACATGTTAGATTTGGTAATTACTTTTACAAGTCTGATAGACAATAATCTACAGAGGCTATAAGAAAACGATAGACATATGACCTTGTGAACTGAATTATTATCTTGGTTAACTATTTAGCTGGTATATGCGATTTTAACTATGGTTCTTTTTTCGTTTATTGGGTCAAAAGTAAAAATACTGTAGTTCTTCTTGTGATTAAAGGCTACTTGTATCTGTTGAATCTAATTTCTCTTATACAGGTTCATGTACCACCATCATGCAGTCTTGATGGTGTACACTCCCAACATTTCTTTGGAACTGGCATCATTATATATCATTCTTCTAGCATGGGACTTGCTGTGGTGGACAAAAACACTGTTGCGATTTCTGCATCTGATGTTATGTTGTCCTTTGCTGCTTTTCCAGTCGAGATTCCTGGAGAGGTTAGATACTTAGATTTCCCTGAGAATCTTATAGTTCATGGAAGGAAGCGTTAGAACTGATCTTTCTTAACTGAACTGTAGGTAGTATTTCTTCATCCTGTTCACAACTATGCTCTTATTGCGTATAATCCGTCAGCAATGGATCCTGCCAGTGCTTCAGTCATTCGTGCAGCTGAGCTACTACCTGGTATGTTGTTAACCATTTGAAAGTTCCATCATTGCCTGTTTGGATATCACCATCTAACAGATGATTATGCTTTTACGAAAAGCGGTCTTATAAGATTTATGTTTATGTTGTATGGCTATTGCCTAAACAGAACCTGCACTCCAACGTGGAGATTCAGTCTATCTTGTCGGATTGAGTAGGAACCTTCAAGCCACATCAAGAAAATCTATTGTAACCAATCCATGTGCAGCGTTAAACATTGGGTCTGCTGATTCTCCCCGCTACAGAGCTACTAATATGGAAGTAATTGAGCTTGATACAGGTTAGGGAATTCAGAGCCTTTGACATTAAACTTAGTTATTCTAGACTTGTTCAAATCTCACTTCGTTTCTTGTTTCTTGCAGATTTTGGTAGCTCATTTTCAGGGGCGCTGACTGATGAGCAGGGAAGAATCCGGGCTATTTGGGGAAGCTTTTCGACTCAGGTTCATCTTCCCACTTTGCCGTTACCTAATTTTTGTGCGTCTTTTTTTTCTAAGATGCTGCTCTTGTGAATTGATCACAGGTTAAATATAGTTCCACTTCGTCAGAAGACCATCAGTTTGTCAGAGGTATCCCGGTATATGCAATCAGCCAAGTCCTTGAAAAAATCATAACCGGTGGAAATGGACCAGCTCTTCTCATAAATGGTGTCAAAAGGCCAATGCCACTTGTTCGGATTTTGGAAGTTGAATTGTATCCTACTTTGCTTTCAAAAGCACGGAGTTTTGGTCTGAGTGATGCATGGATCCAAGTAAGCCATTTGTTTATATTTCGCTATATTTCTGCTTAGATTCTTTATCATATCAATATGTGTCTTTGTGCTTAGAATCTTAGTCTACTAAAATTAGGCATTCTCAAATCCGTTTACTATATTGATTGTTCTCACAGGTCCTAGTCAAGAAGGATCCTGTTAGACGTCAAGTTCTGCGTGTTAAAGGTTGCCTGGCAGGATCAAAAGCTGAAAACCTTCTTGAACAAGGCGATATGGTTCTGGCAGTCAATAAGATGCCAGTTACATGCTTCAATGACATAGAAGCCGCTTGCCAAACATTGGATAAGGGTAGCCACAGCGATGAAAATCTCAATCTAACAATCCTTCGACAGGTGACACCATTAACTCCTATCTTATTATTTCTTTGTTTCTTCGTTATCACCTGAGTCTTTGTGTCGATTGATCACACCATCTGTGACAACAGTAGTTCGTTTCCTTTTCTTGAGTTTCTACGTGTTTATTTAATCTCTTGTTGGTTTGTTAGGGCCAAGAACTAGAGCTCGTAGTTGGAACTGATAAAAGAGATGGGAATGGAACGACAAGAGCGATAAACTGGTGCGGATGCGTTGTTCAGGATCCTCATCCTGCGGTTCGTGCTCTTGGATTTCTTCCTGAGGAAGGTCATGGTGTCTATGTCACAAGGTACTAGTTGTGACCTATATATGAAATCTCAATTTGGTTTAACAGAAAAACTGGTTCTTAGCAATTTATTTGTCGCAACACACTAAATTTGACAAATTTTGTTCTCAGATGGTGTCACGGGAGTCCCGCTCACCGATATGGCCTCTACGCACTTCAATGGATTGTGGAAGTTAATGGGAGGAAGACTCCTGACCTAAACGCATTCGCAGATGCTACCAAGGTTTTGTCTCTTTCCTTACAGAAGTCACACTTTCAATTACTTTGGACCTGAAGAACAGTTATGCAGGAGCCATTACAATTGCTCTTTTACTCTGATCTAAATTGTGATCTTAGATTGTTTCTTTTCGATTTGGTTGCAACAGGAGCTAGAGCACGGGCAGTTTGTGCGTATTAGGACTGTTCATCTTAACGGCAAGCCACGAGTCTTGACTCTGAAGCAAGATCTCCATTACTGGCCGACTTGGGAGTTGAGGTTCGACCCAGAGACTGCTCTTTGGCGGAGAAATATATTGAAAGCCTTGCAGTAAAAGCCTTCTGGTATTTCTCTGAAAAGCTCTTATTATGTCTCTCATTGCTCCAACTTTGTTGTATTTCTATCATTTTTCTACTCAAAACCGTCATTAATTCATCATACTAAAAGAACTATCACAACAATTTACAGAAAAACTGAAGGATTTTACATCCAGTAAAAATGATCATATCAAAGATTTCCCATGTCATAATTTATATTTATATTTTCTTCTAATTGTACTGTTTATTTTAGTTTTGTTTTGACCCGTAAAGTTGAAAAGTCCAAAGCCAATTGATGATGTCATAAATCTTAGCAAACTTGAAAAAGCTTCAAGTCGAAACTCAAATTGATGAACAGAGACAGACAAAATTTAACATGCATTATAATAGTGACCAGTTTCTAGGCTTGGGTCCTTGAGAAGAATAGTCTATACTATTTCTTAGAACGCATCATCATAGTCTTAAACTCCTCAAAGCTAATATAACCATCACCATCTACATCGATAGCTTGAACCATCCCTACGCAGCTCTCAACCGTACACTTCTCTCCGAGCCGAGTCATCACCACATGTAACTCATTGGCCGATATCTTCCCATCACAATCAATATCATATAGTTTGAACGCATCCTTCAACTCTTTTTCCACGTCGCCACCACTAGACTGAGCAGTTTGGTCCATACACGAAGCGAATTCGGCCGCATCGAGCTGACCATCTCCGTTCGTGTCAAGCTGGATGAACATCTCGACCAGTTTGTCTGAAGGAATAGCTGGAGAGAGAGCATGAATCGCGTCACGAAACTCTTCCCATGAGATCTTACCGTCTTTGTTCTTGTCAAACCTCTCGAAGATACCACTTATAGACATGTTATTCCTATTCATATTCATATGCACTCTTTTGTTGATTTTTTTCTTTTTCTGAAACTTTTGTGAAATACGAAACTTTTGTGAAACTTTTACAAATTTGCTTGATTTATTTATATGTGAACATTGAAAATGGTTATTAAATATATCAAAATATTGGTTTGTAAGAGAAATAAATAGCTGGTTTACATAAAAAGAAGTAAATCCTTTTTTTCCATGTAAAGAAAACGATCAAAATTTCCCAAGAATGTGTGGATGTTCTTCTAAAATGGATTTGTTTCATCTTATTGATAGTTCCATGTATCTCATTCTAACATTAATCAAGGTAACCAATCGGCAAAGACTTATGAACCAACACCACAAGTGATTGAACAAAGAGCCCGAGGGAAATTGAGACAAGATTTTATTAGAAAAGTTAGTAAATCAGCTTCACAATAACCAAGAACCAGAGGAATTAAGCTGTATCATCATCATGGTCAATATTATTATTTCCAAATCCCAACATGGCTTCCTGGGCTTACTAGTGTGTACATAAGATAAAGGAAAAAGATTTTATTGTTGTTCTGTTTTCTTTTTAATATCTTTTAGCAGATCTCTTCATATTGCATGAGATGGGAAGAAAACAAATTAATAATGATAAAGAGTAAATATTTTTCAAAGAAAATAAGAGTAAATGAAACACATAAATATATTAGGCTTTGTGAATTGAGACTATGTCTCGTTTTCTCCTTTTGCATTTTCATGTAGATTACTTTTTGATTCGCTTATCAAGTGCGACAAGTCTCAATTTCTTTTGATCATATCGGCGCTTTTCTAAACTGCTTTGTAGTTTCTTTTTGCTTCCTGCTGGTCGCTTGATTTGCACTAAACTTGGAACATAAGAGCACATTTGTGTGGAACACTTTTTGTGGGCAGGTTCTCCGAGATCCCATTCTCTTAAGTATCCAGCCTCTCCAAGAATGTAAAATGTGTGGTCATCCAAAACCAAGGCGACTTTCTTCTCCTCGTCAATGATGAAACTCTCAATTGTTAATAAAATTTCAGGTCCCGTATTTACTGTCAAGAATTTGCTCCAAGACACCTTGTTAGCCTCAATCTTAGTTGTAATCCATATCTCAATCACATATGGATTTCTTACGTCGTTCTCAAGTAAAACTGAAAGCTTCTCTTCTCTTACACAAGATAAAGTCACATCGTCATGAATCCCAGCGTCAAAAGGCAAACGCAGAAGCGGCCCAAACCTCTCTCTTGTGAAATCAAAACAGATTATGTAATCTATTAATGCTTGTGGTTTTCTTTCTGAAGCACACCAGTAAGTGTTTCCCTTAAGAGAAACGCCAAGGTGAAAAAACCTTATATACCAGTGTGGAGTGATTTGTCCATAAATCAGACTCAAAATTATAGATTTCATACCATATAAAGTTGTCTCTTTCGTTGTAACGTCCGTCATTATCTGTAAACCTCAAGATTTTGTGGTTACGACAAGATTTGTTCTTCTTCTCCACGTATCCGAAAGCGTAACTGCACGTGTCACATTCCTTCACGGAGATGTAAGAATACCTGAGTTCGATCAACCTTGTTTGCCCGCAATACGGATTCCAAACCACAAGCCTAGTATTATTGTCTCCACTCAAGATGCATAACAATAAACCCTCACAATGTAAGACTTCAGATATCTTGACTTGATCTGAATCGTGTAAGAAAGTAAGTTTACCTAGAGTCTCTATAGATGGATCTCCATTGACGACGTCGACGTTCATTAAATAAAGATTATAATCCCTCATCACAATCATCATTTCCCTTCCTCCAACGTGCATCTTTATAAAGCTCCGACTTTTATATAAACGGTTCCATTTTTTGCAAGTGAATCGAACGGCTCTCATAGATTTCATTGGAACCCGAGAGATAATCTCCTTTACCAATTCCTTCGGGAGATCTGAGATCGTCGTCATTTTTTCAGTTTGCAACTAGGTTTTCTGGTAACCTTGAAAACCCTGTTTTTTTTGTTTCTTTCTTTTCCTCTGATTTCTTGCGGCTGAAGGTAGAGACTGGGTACATTATACAACAAATAAGATGAGATACATAAACCCTAAATGAAGTTGGGCCACTTGTGGGCCTATGAATCAATTCGGGCCCTATTAAACAACAACATGAATTCTTGTTGCGAATAATAAATGAGATACATAAACCTAAATGATGCTGGGCCATTCGTGGGCCTATAAATTCTCCAACAACAACATGCACTTCAATTTATTTACAAAATTATATATATAAAGTTATAAACGGTCGAGAGAAACCTCTAAAACCTTTATTATATATATAACAATGTATAAGCGAGAAAACACACGAAGTAAACAAGCAATTTATATGTCACCAATAACCAAAGACATAAACTCGTCAAAGTTCAAATAGCCATCACCATCTACATCCGCCGCTCGGACCTTTTCGGCACAAGTCTCCTCGGTGCATTTCTTCCCGAGGCTAGTCATAGTCACATAGGACTCACTGGCCGGTATCTTCCCGTCACCGTCAACATCACAAAAAACAAACACTTCCTTCAACATCTTCTCAATGCACGACGTAAACTCCTCGGCGTTTAGCTCGCCGTTACCGTCCACGTCGATCTCTTCGAAAAACTTTACGATATCATCCTGAGTAAAGTTTGGAGAGAAAGCAAAAGCCGCTTCACGAAACTCGTCTAATGTGAGTTTACCATCTTTGTTCTTATCGAACTTCTCGAAGACACGTTTTGCAGACATTTTCTTAAGTTTTATGTTTTGTTGGATACTTCTTGTTCCTTTGTTTTTGAGAAGTAGTGTGAATATTTATAGGGTTTGGAAACCAAAAATTATAAAAACTGATAGATAGTCCAATTAATGATTAATTAAAAATGAAATATTCATATAAAAATTAAGTGATTCAAAAATAAAGGAGGATATGTAAATTAGGATATACATGTAGATTTTATCCTAGAAATTGGATTTGTTCAATCTGCATGTTATTAATGGTTCACTTACTTGTATCTCACCATAACTCATATTGTGTTAAAATGGACTGGGCTATCTGGAATAGTATTAACCTCTAACGTTTTGTAAATTTTGTCAAAAATTATATGGGATTCAGATTGACACATGCATGTAAGTAAGGGAAAAAAAAAAATGTAAGTAAATCAAGTTTATCTATACCAGCCTCGGCTCAATATATTTGAGAGTCTTAGGGCAAAAAATTTTTTTTGGCCTATTATTATATACTAAGAGAAAATTTACTTAATTTTTAAAAATTTTGCGGAGGTTTTACAGTAAAAATTGTTATTTTAAAAAATTTGGGCCTTTTTATATATTTTCTTATAAATAATTAGGCCTCTTAAAATATAATTCTCATATTAATAATATTTTTAAAAAATATTTAGGCCTTTTTTATATGTAAAATTTTTTTATAAAAAAAAAGCTCCGGACCGTCGAACTTCCGCCATACCCATCTGAGCCGGGGCTGATCTATACATTAATATTTAAAATGAAATGTGTACTATATTTGATATTTTTAAATAACTGTGTATTTGTTATACAAAATTAATTAGATATGTTCCACTATTTATTTATTTTATTTTTTCCAACGTTCACCACAACACTGACATCACCTGTTACATATATCAATTCGCAAAAATAGGAAACAATTAAAAAAATGGAAGATGTAATTTACACATTTACCCTTCCCATCATTTTCTCTCCGTCCTCACTCGCCGACCATCGATCTTAGGCCACTCCCGAGGATTCTCCGGCTTCTTCTAAAAATCAACCGCCGTCAAAATCGATTCAAAGCAAACCGGAGATTGAATGGAAGATGCAGCTGCTCCGAATTCTGGATCCGAATTTAACCCAGGAGCAAGACGCGGCAAATCTATCGATGAATGCCAAGACATGATTCGTAGGAGTTTCCGAAGTATATATACACAGACTAAGCATCTCCTTTTCGATCTTCGTTTCTTCTCAGTTCCTGAATCTTAATCCATTGGTTGTTTGATTAGCTCACTCTGTAATTTGAGAAATTCATGAAAAAAGTTTGAATTTTTTCGAGCAATCTAGGGTTTAGGGTTTTGGAATCATACCAGAGTCAAAAGAAACTTATGGGTTTAAGGAATGTTAAATCACTTGTTTGATTTGATTTGATTATATTGGTCTGACTTTGGGTTTTGAATGTTGTTTGATTAGACCCAATTGTGAAGTTTCTCATGGAGCAAATGGAGAAATCTGGGTGTAGAGTTGGTGATAATTTCGTTAAGGCTGTTGTTTGTACTGGACCTGTAGCTGGAGGTTACACTAAAGGGAGAGGGGTAAAACCGTTTCCATGTTTCTTTTTTCGATAGTATGCTCTCCAGCTCCTTGATGATGAATCTTGCTATATTTCCTTTTGTTTTCTATGTTTCAAGATTACTGTCTGCAGTAACTATTTGACCATTCAAGACGAAGTGAACCAAGTAGTTATACATGAGTTGATTCATGCTTATGACGAGTGCCGAGCCAAGAATTTGGATTGGACTAATTGTGCTCATCATGCTTGCAGCGAGGTGATTACAATGTTAGATAAGAGCTTTAATATGTAGCGCCAATTGATATGTTGTTGTCAAAATTCTTGATAGGTTTTGGTGTGTGTGTGTGTGTGTATTTTATAAACAGATACGTGCAGGTCATCTAAGCGGTGATTGCCATTTCAAGAGAGAACTTTTGCGGGGTTTCATTAAATTAAGAGGGCATGAACAAGTAAGTCACTATTAGGGAAGAATTGCAGTTCACATAAACACTTCTGGATGATTCTTGTCAGTATTATTAACCTGGTTCTTGGTTTTTCAATAGGAATGTATAAAAAGAAGAGTGTTGAAATCTCTTCGTGGCAACCCGTATTGCTCGGAAGTAGCTGCTAAAGATGCGATGGAAGCAGTGTGGGATACTTGTTACAATGACACTAAGCCTTTTGATAGAGCTCCTTGAAGGTAGTAAGTCTATTACACTCTCATTATTGCTTCAAAGTTATGTGTTCAACTTCATCTTTGAAGATCGATATAAAGCCGGAAAAAACTGTTGGATTCAGCCATTGATTTTTTCCCCATGTATTTCTCACAATCCAACTTTTTTGGCCCAGTTAAACGATAGTATTTGTTTAGATTCTTTATATTGTTGTTGGATACAAAAATTTTGATTTCAAGTGGATTTTGCTTGAAAGTATAATTTTGATTAATGGATTTGTATTTTACATCACACTGGATGAATAAGTAGCTCTGAATCTAACAGTGCAATAGAAAGTTGATACATATCCTTTGCGAAGAATTTTTTTTTTTATCACCTTGTGCATTATATTGTTATTAATAAACTTCTTTTAAACATAAATAATGTTTTTTCCAATTGATAATCACAGTCAGTTTTTGAATCCAAGTGGATTTAAATTATGCATAATAATATACGAGTTTAAGCTGAAAATGATAGAAAGGTCACAAAATGGTAACTTATATCGTCAAATATTGATCAATTTCTTTCACTATTTTGTTCTTGTTGTAACAGCAAAAAAAAAAAAAAAACGAAAGAAACAACTTTGTATTGACAGTTAATGAAAGACCAAGTCAAATTCTAATTTTGGTAAATTCGGTTTTCTCATTAAATCGCCTAATTTAAAGCATAGCCTCAGCTTCTTCACATTCAAATCTCTTTATATAACACTTATAGATCATCTGATCTCTCCGACCAAAAGAACAAAACTACAAACAATGGCTGATGCAACAGAAAAAGCTGAGCATGACCGTATTTTCAAGAAATTTGATGCTAATGGAGATGGAAAAATCTCTGCGGCCGAGCTTGGAGATGCTCTGAAGAACCTTGGCTCGGTCACACACGAGGACATTAAGCGTATGATGGCCGAGATTGATACCGATGGCGATGGATACATCTCGTACCAAGAATTTTCTGATTTTGCAAGTGCCAATCGTGGTCTTATGAAAGACGTCGCCAAGATTTTCTAAGTAAAATTAACAGATCTAATCTATAATTTATATGAAAGGGTTTGAGAACTGATCATGTTTGATTTGTTTTGTATTGACAATCATTTGATGAAGTATGTTTTTTTCTTTGTGTCTTATTTTCATGTAATGGAAGGTCTTGGATTATTCTTGAAATAGATTGTAACGATATATTGAAGAATTCTCCATTCTTTAGTTTTTGTTTTTTTGCGGTTTTGGCTGATCTAATTTTGTGCAATAGCGTGGTTAAATTGCTCAGCTTTAGTGCTAGACAAGAATATATTGACCAAGACCATTAGGGATGATTGAGCATGAATATGAGTACAGAAACCTAAAATTCATAAAATAGTAAACTTTTATCGTAACAATTTAAAAAAGAAAAGAAGAATTATATTTAGAACATGTTAACTCTGATATTGCAATAAATTTTACAAGATGAAATGCGCTAAGTTTGATAATATAGAATATTTAGATACCTCTCTTAAACAGATTAATTAGAATAAAATTGATAAATTTGATTTTGGCTCTTTGCCTTTACATACTTTTAGCATTTAAATTATTTCGCAAAAACATGTCCCATATTATTGTTTCTAAATATAATTTCTCTAAGATAAAGACCCTATAACAAAGAATGGTTGGTAATTGATCTTGATATTGAGGACCAAACATATATACTTAAATAATCGAATAAAATCTCTCAAATAGCTTTAGGCCATCTACATCATTGTTCAAAAAATATCTTTTTACAACTAAAAGTTAAAAAATAAAAACTAGAGAAATAGAAGCCATCTCATAAAAAGTCTGTCAACCCAAATTTTCTCCTATTAATTTGGATTTATTATTTTCATACAATTTGCTTTATACAATTATAATCAAAAAGCATATGAAAATGTCCCAAATAAAATATATATTATTTGCCTAAAAAATACATATGTATATTGCCACTCGTGTGTAGTATAAATACACACGTACTATGTAACCGTTGGCCAACGCCTTAATCCTACGTCTCTCTCTCTTTCTCTTTCTCAGCAGATCTTTTCTTCTTTCTCCTGAAATGGACCTCGCCGGAGAAACAAACAGCCTTATCTCCACCGTCGCTTCTTTTTCTTCTTCTTCTTCCTCCGTTTCATCAATCGACACAAGCCTCGATTGCGATTCGCCACGTGGCGGAGATGTAGACCACGAATTGCTCCACACGGCGGTTTCTCCGTCGGTGTCGGTTTCGATTTCTTCGTCTTCTTCTGCTTCAATCCAGAGAGTACTAAGTTTAATCAGATCAAAGGATCTCGATTCGAGGTTGTTTGCCGCTAAAGAGATCCGTCGGCTGACAAAGACGTCTCATAGGTGCCGCCGACACTTTTCCCAAGCCGTGGAACCGCTCGTTTCTATGCTCCGATTTGATTCGCCTGAATCTCACCATGAAGCTGCTTTACTTGCTCTCCTTAACCTCGCCGTCAAAGACGAAAAGTACGTTCTTCTTCCTCTCTGTTTTTCCCCAATTCGAATTTGTTCTGTTTTCGTATACTGATCTAATTAGTGAATTCTTTCTTAGCTTGGGATTAGTTAGAAGATAATCACCACTAGATTAATCAAATCGGATATAGGAGATTACGTTGAAAATAGATTGAGAGTTTTAAGAACTTAAAATTCATGAAGATAACCATTAATTACTACAATTGTTCTGAAAATCAGAGTCATGATTGAATCATTAGGTGTCACGATTCGTGCCTTTTTTGGTCGGACTCGTGTAAGTTCATGATTAGGTGATTGTATCGTAATGGATAATCTCGATCGTAGCAATCTCGTTTTCTGCTTTAATCACTTTACTTTAATCAGATTGGGTGGATCAATCAACTTTTGTGTACAAGATTGCTTTTCGTTTGCTTGGAGTGTACTCTATGTTTCTTCAAGCTTTTTTTTGTTGTGTGTGTTGCTCCTTTATTTCCTTTTTTGCTTACTTTTGAAGGATTTCTTGTTACTGGGAAATTCAAAATTTACCTAGGGTTCATCCATTTTTAGGGAACTGGATATCTTCGTCATCAGGGATACTCTTCTTTATTCCTTCTTTACTTTTAAATTATTCTTGGTTTATGCGATTTCTGGAGAATTCTGACTTATTCTTTTTCTTTTGTTATGTTTTCTGAGAGTTGATTGGTTTCTAGTTGTAGATGAAATTTTGATTGATCTACACCAAAAAAAAAAAGATAGGACTATAGGACTCATGTTAGCTTAGCTTTTCCTTTTTCTTTTTTTTACTAGTCTTGACATTCCATTAGCAAGCAAAGAATCAAGTTGCAAGATAACACTAAAACAAGAATCTTTCTTTCTCTACCTATACTCGGCCGCAAATTCTCCCGTCCTTTGATTCCATCAGAAAGAGAGGACAGTAACAAGCCAATCTCAATGCATCAAACTCTGGTGCATCTTTAAATTTGTGTCAAACTAAAAACAGAGGATGACTTAAAGTTAAGTGATAGACTGATAGTTTATAGATGGAAATCACCTGAAGCTAACTAACTCTTTGCTTTGGGGCAGGTATGAATAACTTTGCCTAACTTAATTTATTAGCTCTTTCCGCATCTGTAGGTCCCCTGCTTTACCAGACTTAAGTATTTTTTGAATTTTTTTCCTTGCTACTGAATCTTTCTTAGTTTATACGCAAACGACTTTGTAGTCAAGTTCTTTTTTGGTCTAAACTCTGAGATCATCACTTTCTTTTATTAATGGAGCCATCTAGTGGAGAGAAGACAAGGAGCAAGCAAAGTAAAGATACTAGCCTCAAGCCTTTCTTTTTCTTCACTTTTCCTCTCTTATATTGTTTTCATTAAATATCTTCTCTACTTTAATTTTGGTGTCCCATAAACATTAATTAATTAGGTCGGCTTGGTTTTCCTAAGAGGTTAGGTTGGTGGTTTCAACTCTATTTTCCCTTGATTACAATTCATATGACTTTTAAATTTAATGCAGAGTAAAGTCTTATAGAAAGAAAGATTGATTTTTGCATATGTGATAAGAAACATATGTGTCATTGTCTTCAAGAATATTCTCCTCTGAGACTATTATTCTGAGTTTTGTTGTTGATTTTTCAATTTTCAGGAATAAAGTGAGTATAATTGAAGCTGGTGCTTTAGAGCCAATCATCAACTTCTTACAATCAAATAGCCCAACACTTCAAGAGTATGCTTCTGCATCTTTGCTCACTCTCTCCGCGTCAGCAAACAACAAACCCATCATTGGAGCTAATGGCGTGATTCCTTTATTAGTCAAAGTCATTAAACATGGAAGCCCACAAGCTAAAGCTGATGCAGTAATGGCCCTTTCCAACCTCTCTACACTCCCCGATAACCTAAGCATGATCCTAGCGACTAAACCACTCTCACCAATACTGAATCTTCTCAAATCAAGTAAAAAGTCATCGAAAACATCTGAGAAATGTTGTTCTCTGATAGAATCCTTGATAGTTTCTGGTGAGGATGCGAGAACAGGGTTAGTTTCAGATGAAGGAGGAGTTTTAGCGGTCGTGGAAGTTCTTGAAAACGGGTCATTACAAGCTCGGGAACATGCGGTTGGCGTGCTTTTAACGCTCTGCCAAAGTGATAGGAGTAAATACAGAGAGCCAATTCTTAGAGAAGGTGTGATACCGGGACTGCTTGAGCTCACGGTTCAAGGGACATCAAAATCTCGGACTAAAGCTCAGAGACTTCTCTGTTTACTAAGGGACTCAGAAAGCCCGAGATCAGAGGTTCAACCCGATACAATAGAAAACATAGTGTCAAGCTTAATCTCTCATATAGACGGAGATGATCAATCCGGTAAGGCAAAGAAGATGCTAGCTGAAATGGTGCAAGTTAGCATGGAAAAAAGCTTGAGACATCTACAAGAACGTGCTTCGACTCTTGTCCGTCCATAACCTGTGATCGAAAAACCGCAATCCCGAGGACTCTTCCAAGCATAAACCGTGGTATGTCTCCGAATAAGGGTGATGAAGATTGATGAATATATATATGCCAGTCCAGTTGCCGGCGTTTTGGTTCTTAGTGACTGGTTTTTTTTTTCTTACTCAGAAGTGTTCATAATAAAAGCAATTTGTAATTTAAGTCTTTTTGTGTGTACATTACTTATAGAATCGCTTTTACTTTTTACAAGTTTCAATGATATTGTTGTGCCATTGGAGTGTGTTCGTTAAATTCTTTTTGACTATACATTCAGATTGAATTCCAGAATTAACTTCATATATGTGTTCAAAACTGAAAACCCCCAAAACTAACTATTTTTCAAGATCATCATATGTATCAAGATGCTTGAGAACAATAATCATCCAAAATTCAGATCCACCAACTCTTTTGTAGAAGACCATTGAATTTGAGGCTTATGATCTCATAAAAGTAGAATGATTCTTCACCTCACATATCTTTAAAAGTTGATTACGTACGTCAAGATCAATTTGACATCCATATTACCTCATCAAAACCCATAGTAAAGAGAGAGAAAAGAACAATCTATTTGTTACGTTCTTTAAATGTTTGGAAAACAAAAATGTACCAAAAATATTTCGAAGAAAATCTTTTAACAAAGGCTGACATCAGTCCTCGAAACTGAAAGTACATTTTCGATCCGCCTTTTCAGAAATGCTCACGTTCACTTCCCATGTTATCAACGAAACTGTCCAAATTTGAAAAATATATCACACAAATCATTTAAATAAATTTTTTATTTATATATGTATATTGGTTGAAGTTAAATAAAAAAAACATACAGAATCGTTTATTATCCTTCCACATTTATTGAAAACTTACTTGGCTCGATCTACGATACAAGATTTTACTCGTTCTCAAAGATACGCACAAGGTCCAAAAAGATAAAGTTGTAAACATTTAGGCAAAACGGTTAAACACACAAAAACTTCGGGCTAAAAAGTAAAAACACACTAAAGTTACGGTCTCTTTTCCTAATTTTTTAAAACATTTATTATTTTCCAGGTTTCATGCAAGTCATCTCTACCGCCGCGACTCGCCACCGCCGGCGAGTTTCCACGCCGAGGTTGTGATGAGTGGTCGCGTCTGCCACCCAATCATTAAACAACCGTCATTTTCTTCAACTCTGTATCCATCTCCGGTAGCGTAAAGCGATAAAAGCATGCTCGCTTGTTTAAACGCGCTAGATCCGAGATGAACCGGGTCAAACCCAGCGGATTTCATCCGGATCCTCCACTGTGCCACCGTCTCGTGTCGCTCGACCCGATCGGATCCTTCCGCCGCAACAACGTTTAGTATTTGTCTCCCTAAGTACACTTCTGACATAACTCGGTCTTGACTCGGTAAGCTACCACTGTCTTCGAGCGAGTCAAACAGGCTCGAGTAGTAATGAAGCGCTTCGTTGAACCTATCGAGGAAGACGATTCCGTTGTGGTTCGCTTCTTGCTCAACCACCGTTATAATACTCGGTTTAATAGCTTTAACCGTGTTGAGAAGCTTTTCGATTGAACCGGATCGGGCTAATAACCGGTGAAGCTCAAAAACCGAATTAACCACTAAGGTTTCGGAATCGGGTCGGGTTTCGAACATTTCGGGTTCTAGATCCGACAAACTCTCAGTGGCTAAACCTTTGAATTCGAATTCAACGCCCATGTTTTGAGCGAATTGAGCTAATTTCCAACCTAATTGTTGAAGCGAATCTGAATTCTCCGTCTGCGGTGGTCCGATTCCGGTGAGACGAAACGACGGAGGACCACCGGGTCGGAGAGCTAAAGCTTGCATTAAAGCAGGCCACTGCATCCCTTGATTAAGCCCTAAATCGATGACGTGAACTCTACGCGCCGTCGCGACAGCTTCTAGAATCGCTTGGTTCGCCGTGAAATGAGCGAATTTTAGGTAAGGGCAAGAATCGTAGAAGTGCATCTGCAAAACCTCTTCGAAGGAGCCGCCTGAGACGTCCGTCTCCGCCGTGTAATCACGGTAAATACGACGAGCCAAGGCTTGAGCAAAATACGTAGCGACTTTTCCCATAGCTCCAGCTTGAGAAGCCGCGAGTGTTCCCACGCGTTTAACGAGCGCGTCAGCTAAGTTGAGATTCTCCTGCTGAATCGCTTCAGCGCACGCCACCAGCGCGTGGACGAGTCTAACTCCGGTCTCCTGAGAGTCAACGAGCACCACAGACCGAGTTGACTCACCAGCCGATTCGCACCAGGATCCGAGTCGGATCCTTTTGCTGCTAGCTTCCTCGTCAAAGACTTCCTCTTCCTTTGGAAACGCAGAAAGACCCGGAATTGCTCGCAGATCGTATTCGGATCTATCCACACAACTTCGGGTCGGGTCAAGATCCGAAGAAGTTGGGTTGTTAAGCTCAGAGAGCATGCTCTCGACCCATGTAGAGAGATCAGATGGGTTATAATGAACAGTGTCGTTTAAGACAGTAGAACCAACATCATCATTAGATAAGACCATCTCAAGTTGCTCAAGCTTCTGTGCTACTTCAGCCATCTCAGAAGATCGAACCTTGTAACCAAGAACAGCAAGAAGCTCATCATCCATGTTGTTGTTGTCATCAGCAACCTTCTTCTTATCCGCCATTGAAGGACCTTCTCTGGAACGAGAAGCTGGTGGTGGATCCCATGTTTCTCCATGTCCTCTCTTCATCTTTCTTGTTCTTGTGATGAGTTAAGAGACTGATGAAGTTGGAAAATAAGAACAAAAGAGAGTTTGGATATTTATTATAAGAAAGGAGTTTACTTTACTTCATGGGTTGGTAAGGTTTTGTACTAATGGGGATTTGAAAAAAGGAAAATTGTGGGTCTTTTTTGTGATTTGGTTACAGACAATTTTTGTGCAAAGAAAGGAGAGATTCTGAGAGGAACAACATATAAAAAACACGAGGGAGTGAGGGGGAGAGGTCCAATGAGAGAAGTGACTGTGAAGTGTGTTTAAGAGATAAGAATCAGAGCATGCCACTATTGTTCGGCATCTGTTTCTCTCTTTCTTTCTTTCTTTTTTTACTAACTCCAAGAACTTCACTCGTTTTTTTTTTAGTAATGGATAATTTTCTTTATAACTTTGTTTAGTAGAGATTTCTAAGAATTTGTTTAGTAGTTTAACCAATTAAACTTTATAACTTTTAGGTTTGTAGTGTGCTTTCGTCATATTTGTTGGTAAGATTTTTAAAGTTGTGAAGTATTAAAAGTGTCATAGTCTTATAGACAATTACAACTTAATTGTTCTTAAATGCCATTGAATTTGTCATATTCTTGCTTACGACTCTTTTCTAATGACAACTGATAATATTGAATTCTAGAAATATGATTTTTTAAAATCTTAGTTCAAATTATATAATCTTTAGGAGAATATGATTGAATTCACATGTTTTAGCAGGTTTGATAGATTTTAAATAAAAATCCTTCTCAATATTCTGTTTTATCTTTAACCCATTTTCTCCTATAAATCGATATGTAGTTCTGATTCCTATGATCTTAATAGAAATTCTCTTCTCTTCGGAAAATATGATCACAGATTTCGAGTTCAAATATACATTGAAGCAAGAATCATATGTTGTTAATGTTTGGATAAAATTATAAATCTTCAAAGCAAACAAAGAGTGTCTGTTTTCAGCAGGTTTAATGTCATAGAGTCAGTTTTCAGAGATCTAACTAAACTCAGACAACATTAGATAATTAATTATTTTATTGGTCCATTTTTAGACAAGTTTAATCAGCCGCATAATATGATTCAACTATTACTCTCACTCTTTTTTCTCTTGACCAAGTTCTATTATTCTGGTGATGTGAAGTTTTTCCTATCATAATGATAAACAAATTTGTGTTTTATTTCACTGAGATAAAACTACGGCTCAAGTATTTGAAGGGGACACATGAGCAACCTCTCATGTGCCACGTAGAGGAAGACATAGCCTACGAGACGTCCACAACATAAGGTTACTTTCATTAATTTATTGCATATATCTTTCAGCAGTTTTATATATACATCATCATCATGCATAATAATTAAGGTTTTTTGGAATAGTGGTATATTGGTATAGTATCGTTTGGAAACCGTAAAAGATCCTTTTGGAATATAAGAAAATAAATTTTAAAAAAAGGTTGTGGGGATTGTATGGTATGGTCCCAATCGCAGCTACAAGAAAATGATATTCGTTGATGTGTTAGAAGTCACATGGTGCATGCTTTTCCATTTTTAGTCATTTGATGTCTAATTTGGCCGGTTTTGCTTCTGTGGTTTACATTATTTGTTACTTTTTATAAGATGAGAATTGAAACTGAAACTCGTCATGCTCATGCGCCGAAATTAGTCCAACTAAAAACACTTCCCCTCCTTATTCACTCACTACCTTTCAAGTTTTTAACTACATCACCAAACCAAAAAAAATTATGAGTCTTGGTTCCATATTACCGAGTATTCAAATCAAAATCCCCAGTTCGTCGCCAGTTCTCATGTTCTCCATTTTCATTTTCCTCATCATTCAAGAAATCTTCTAGTGGTTCCTTCTCTTCTTTCTGGCTATTATTGTTCCCCCATCCATTCATCAGCATCATCATCTCATTAGGGTTCATGTTACGTCCTTGTTCTCCATGATTCCCAATCGCATTAGCTCTCAACGGGTTACGAGCCATCATCTCGGTATGAGATTGTTGTGACTCTGCTGCCCTTGCTTGTCCTGCTGCTTGAGCCAAAGCCGCCATTCTTAACCTCGCATCCTGAGCTTTCATCTCCCTATCCAGTTCAATACATGCGTTTCTCTCGTCTTGGAGCAAAAATTGTTCCATCATCAGCATTTCCTCAGCTCTGACGCCATCCCTTCTCTTTTGAGTTATCCTGTTGAAAGCTTGGATTTGTTCCTCAAATGTCGCCGTGAATTCTGCGACTTTGGCTGCAATGTTGTTGTCCCATAGCTGACAGCGGGGTAGCGCCTGGTTTGTTGTGTCTGAATAGAGGATACTATCATCTTCTTCTGCTTCGTAATCTGCTACGACGTGATAAGGTAACAATCTGCAGAACAAATAGTGAAATAACAGAGATTGTAATTCTCACAAAGAGAGTGATCAATCACAAGCAAACTTCATAAGTGATAACCACAACGACGGTTCTACATTATATAAACATTTCATATATATGCACGAAAAGAGAACCAGGAGATCTAATGCATGAGAAAATCTTGGAAACCAAAGCTACATGGATCAACAGACACAAATATCACATGGTATTCAAAATACAAAACTTTTCTGCAATCCCGAGATAAAAGTTGAAGAGCTCCAATAAAGCATTGGCCTTTATAAAAAAATGATGATACAGATAAAGCATTGGCCTTTATGATAAAATGGTGATAGAGTCACTAAGAGTTGGATATTTCTCTACAGAATCTATAAAACTAATGACTACCAGAGAATCAGTTCACTCAAAGAACCATTTCAAGAAATCACTATACCCAGAAATTTCAAGAACAACCCATAAATCAATTCAATTCTATGAAAAAACAATTGGGAAAAAACTGAATTAGACGAACCTTTCACAAGCGTCTTCGAGAGAAGCGAAAGGTCGCTTGAAATCAGGATGGCAAACACGCCAAGCGTCTTGGTAAGCGAATTGTATCTCCAATTGATTCGATGGACGCATCAATTTCTGCTGTTGCTGTTGTTGCATCATCATCATCATCTGTTGCTGTTGCTGAAATTTATTGGCTTGTTGAATCAAATTAGGGTTAGGGTTAGCGTTCTGAAGAAACGGGTTAACGGGTCGGTTCGGAATCAAACCCGGTGGCCGAAGATGAGCGTCGACGTTCGGCGGAAACCTCGACATCGCCGCCTGTTGCTGCTGTTTCTGCAAATGCTGCATCATAAAGAGCTGTTGTTGACGCTGTTGCATTTGTTGTTGTTGCTGCATTTGAAGTATGAGTTGTTGTTGTTGCAACTGCTGCTGCTTCGATTCCTCCATTTTCGAAATTTTAGGGTTTCTTTCTGTTTGCAATTTGTTCTACTTCTCCGCCATGAAAGATGGAAAGGAAAACTACTATTTGATATTTATATAGAAACCCATTAAAGGCCCAGCTAGTTTTAACACATATGAGACAAAGTTTTTAATATACATACGACAAATAAGCCCATTGGGCTTTTTTGATGATATAACAATAAGCAATTATCACTTTCTTCTCCTTGGATAAATATTTGCCTTGAAAGGGTTTTTCATGACCATTGTGATGAATTGTTGCTTCTCGGATAGATCAACTTCTTCACCTTCCACACATTTCCACTCGAATTTCCAAACCAAATTGGCCACATAATATTCGAGGTGAAGCAACGAAAGGGCGTAACCGGGACACATACGTCGTCCCGCTCCAAACGGCATCATCTTGATATCGCGAGTTCCCGTCATATCGAAATCATAGGCTTCTCCGTTCTCTAGAAATCTTTCTGGCTTGAACGTTAGAGGATCTTCCCATATTTTTGGATCCCGGCCCATCTCTCCTACCATGAAGTTTATAGTACCTAATCCGACACAACAAAATCAAATACAAAAATGATTTGACTTAGTGGGGACCATGATTTATTTAAAGTTTCCATAACCATTTCATGCTGATGCTTCAAATTAAAGATTAACCTAAAATCTTCTTTATATGTTTCCCAACTTATTGTGTTAGTGCATGGTTAAGGATCATACATATGTTAAATTCACTAAGCTACAATAATCATATGGGCTATATGTAAAATAATGTTTACCTTGGCGAGGAACGAGGAATCCACCCAAAACGGTGTCGTGTGTGACCTTATGGTAAGACAAGTAATGACCAGGAGGGTGTCTTCTTAAACACTCCAAGATCACAGCTTTGAGGTAACTCAACTTCCCCAAATCCTCTTCTCTGATCTCTTCTCTTTCCTCTTCTTCTCCGGCGAACAACACACTCTTCATTTCATCGTATACCTTCCTCTGAATCTCTGGATACTTCACCATGATCGCCATGATCCACTGCATCGCCGTCGCCGTTGGATCCGTAGCTGCGTTAAGAAACTCCGAACACAGACTCACGATCTCCGATTCACTCAGTTTCCTCTTCTTCCCTCCTTCTTTATCCTCCTCCGTTGGAATCTCTAGATTCAGTAGCGTATCGACGTAACAGAGAACATCTCCGGTGGTTTCTTTGCTCCTTGCGTTTACGTATCGGAGTATAACGTTCTCTTGAGATTTCCTTAGTTCTAAGAACTCTTTCCATTTTCGCCGGAGCGAGAACTTGGTTACGCTTGGGAAGATGTTGAGGACGCTGAACTTGGTGTAGCTTATGAGCATTTGGTACTGAGCTTCTTCGATCTCTCTGATCTCTTCTCTTTTCAGTTTCTCTCCGAAACACATCAGAGCCAATAAATAAAACATCGCGTGACGGAGATGATCTAAAGCGTCGGAGACATGTCCTTTCTCTCTCTGCTCTGTTTCGAACAGATCGACGAGGATCTCGAGAGACCATTTCCTCGACGGCGCGTGAGCTTTCACGCGCGCCGGTTGGAGGATTTCGGAGGTGAGGTTGCGGCGGAGGGTTCTCCAGAGAGAGCCGTAGACGGAGGAGTGGATGTCGTGTTGGTTGCTGGTGATAACTTTAGTTGTGGGGAGAGCGATAGGACGGTCGGAGAAAACGGCACCGTTTTGGACAAGGGCTTGGTGAGCGAGTGATCTGTCTGTGACCCAGATGGAAGGTTTTGAGCCTACGTGGAGGGTTATGATTGGTCCGTGACGGGAGGCTAAGTCACGGAGAACGCCTTGGAAATCGGAGAAGTTGTTTTTCTTAAGCCAGATGATGTTTCCGATGACCGGAAAACGAGGTGGTCCCGGTGGTAGTTTGTGAGTTGAGGAGAAGAAGATGAGTTTAAGGAAGATGACGAATGTGACAGAGGAGATGATAAGGAATATGAGAGTGGTGATCTCCATTGTTGTTCTTCTTCAAATTAAAGCTATTGTTTATTATTTGTAAGGAACAAGTGTGAATTAGATTAGAGAGATTTGACCCCAAAAAAAAAAAATGATTAGAGATTCGTTTCTCTGTGTCGTTTTTGTTCGTGAGTATATTATGAACAGTAAAAAGAAAATAGATAACTCTTTTTTTTTTTTGTTGGGCTATCTAGTCTGTATTCATGTGTAAATAATAGGTTAACGTCAAGTAATAGTATGATGTTTGGAAACATTGATCAATTGTTATTTTTCTTTAAAATTTTATAGACCATTGATTAATGATCGCATGACTTTGATGTAGATATCTCTGTACACTTGTGTATTTTGGACCACCCAACGTGTTGTGGTGTCATCATTAAACAAAATTCGGGAAAAACAACATTTAAAAGAGGAAAAAATACGCATATATACGAACAAGGTAAAAAACAAGGTAAACAACAAACATATTATGTCATAAGTTTCTAAATAACTACTGTATGTACTATGTTTCGTATCCTCGTATTTTTTCTATGAAAAAAAAACAATTTAACTCTCATGAGTTTTTTGTATTGTGTCCTGAATGCGGTGAAGCTATATTGTGAGTTTTTCTTAACATCTATCGTGTGATCTATTATAAATACAGTATTATTTTTTTAGTTCAATGAAATATATTGATAACAAAAAGAAAGATATTATCCACACAAAAAATACTCGAATGGGAGTGTAATGAAATTGACAAGTGACAGAAAATGTAAAAAAAGTAGTATCGTGTACGTTGCTGCTTCTAGCTTTGTTTTCTTTCAATCGTGTAATAAAATCCGGAGCTTAACAATTTCAGTTACTTTGTCAGTTTGTACCTTAGAGCACTTCCAATGGAGTGTTTCAAGAAGTGTCTGAAGGATTAAAAAAAGAAAAAATAATTAAAAATAAGAGAGAAAATGAGACACAGTGTCTCATTTGAGAAACTGCGAGACACTGTGTCTAACACTTGGCATCATTTGATTGGTTAAAGTTTTTTTTAATTAATTAAAATTCAAACAAATAATTTATTTATTATAAAAACATTAAATTATTATATTTGAGAAACTTATATCGTTTTTCACCATTGGAGATGCTCTTAAGTGTCTTCATTCAACTTTTATGGCTTGCTTTTTCACTGTTTTCATTTATTTTTATCATGTTCGTCGTTGATAACAATGTTCCAAAATTTGGTTTAGATAGTCTATCTTGTGGCACAAAGTCACGAATATTTTCCATGAGCCTATTCAGATCCAAGAAATTTCCCAAATGAATTGGTAGGACTCTAAGTAGAAGATAAGCTCTTGAGAGTGTCACGATCCTACCCATGAGATCAAAACTAATTGGAGCCGTTATGAAGAATGTCTTGGTGGTGTGCAATTATCTGACCTTTAAATCTTATGCATGTGTCTTTAATTGAAAACCAATTGATCAGTGGATTGATATTGAAATTTTTTTTTATGTTATGACCAAAATATATGTGTCTCTATAAAAAATAATTTAGTTATGGATAGTATTTGCGTTAATCCGTATTCGAACAAGTAATGGTTTTGATAAATAATTTTGTTATTTGACCATGGAGATAATGCAAAGGTCACTTAAGTCGCCACGTGAGCCAAGTAGTGAAGAAAGAAATTTTGTAGGTTAGAAAGTTTGTTCACATTTTCTACGATCGTGAAAGCTCTAAAAAATACCTCCGTCTACCAAAACATGAGATTTTTTCAGAAAAACTAAAAAGTTTGATTGATCCTTGAAATATGCAACAAGTAAATTAGTTGCTACACTACTGATGATGTCGAAAAGGATAGGAAATATTTACTACATTACTAATAACGTATCGACTAAGCTCTTAGAGCGAAGACTTAAAAACGTTTAATTAGCACTCCATTTAGCTCTGCTACGAACCTCTCCATTGCCCGCACCGGCAAGCTAATCGCCACAACGGTACCCGTCTCACCTTTTTTATTCTTAAACGGCACGTAGAAGCTCACTCCAGGAAAAAGCGCGATACCGGCCTTAGCGGTTCCACCGTACACTGGCTTACCCCACGGTCCAAAATCAACTTTTCCTAAATCAAAGTGTCTTAAATCCGATATGATGTAATTCCCCGCTGCCACAAACATAGGCCGGCCTCTAGTGGCCATTAGGGCAGTCACTGAGCGGACGTAGTCCTCAGTCACACTTGACTTCGTTTCTTGTATCAACCTCAAAGCAAACTCAAGAGGTTTCTCCATAAGATCTCTTGCTGTTGCTATTGCCGCGGGAATGACGAACACATTTCCGTAGTAACCCCGCGATAGTGGTGGGTTGCTAAGCTTGGAACGCGAGTTGATGATGCAAGTTAGTCGCATCTCAGTGTTGGGGTCAGGATTCAACGCAATTGTTCGACAACGCCACAAAAATGACGACAAAGCTTCAAATGAGGTATTGTGGAGATCGGGCGGAAGAAGTTTCCGTATGGCGGAGATCTCTTCCGCGCTGAAAAAGAAAGACCGGCTAACGAAAGGGTCTCCAGTGTCGACCGCATCGATTGCCACCTGATCTTCATACTCACGGTGTGTGTGTGTCACACGCGCCTCCGAAGCACTCACAGTCAACAAGTGTCGGTCCCATACGGGTGGAACCGAGGGCGCGTGAAGCCTATACGCCAACTCGCATAGTGATTTCAGAAAGAGCGACAGGCCTGCTCCATCGGTCATGGTATGGTTGAAACGGAGGGCAAAGATAAATCCGCGGCACTTCAATCGCGTGACCTACACGTAACCTCCTTCTAAATCAAACTAAACTCTGTTTCATTCTTTCTATAGACAAAATTTAAGTGAACTCTTTTAAGGTAACAGAAAAGCTAGACCCATGGACTGACCTGGACGAGAAGCAGAGGAGTGTTAAGCACATCACTAGAGCCTTCCACATCAAAGAGAAGCTCATCTAGGCAAGGGAACGGAGGGAGAAGAGCATCAGCCTCCTCCAGCTCAGTAAGGGACACGTCAGCTTCAGCCTCGATGAACAAAACGCCTTCACCGGTGCAGTCCACTGCGAGTTTCCGGTTTGAAAGTTCCCGGAGCCTACCAGCGAACGGATAGTAGTAAACCAGCGCATCTGCGAGGGCTTTCTTTATCACTTGGACCGGATTGAGATCACTTGAAAGGTTAGGTCTATAGAAAAATATAACTGGAATTTGAAATCTTAGTCCTTGTTGGTCATCTATGTCGGAGAGAGGCTTGAGCTCTCGTGGTGTTGGTTTAGCCGGAGTGATTAGCTCCGGCTGCTGGCGATGCACCTTGAAAGAGAGACCAGTGGTGGTAGATTGTGGCAGAGACACTTGATGGTCCATACTTTGAAACTTTGATAGAATCGCATGAGACACGGTCTTCACCACACATACATATATATAATTACTTATATAATATTGCACATTTTAAGTATGTTAGTTTGGTGTTATGAGATTTTTTGTTAACGGTTCGTATTAAGATCTTTTATTGGACACTGGAAATCTCATAAAACCAAAAAATGTCTCGAGTGTATTAACCTAAAACATTTTTAGACAATAAAGATAACACATCAATATTACGTGTAGAAAAAGAATAACTTTTGTATTTTCTCCACCAATCAAAATAAAATGTGCAAAGGAACGCTTTGGCTTGAAAAAACACAGTTGGCTTAACTTTCTTTGAAAAATGTATTTTCAGTTGGGCAGAGTGATTTTGTGTGATTGGCTGTAATCATAGAAAAAGGACAATAAACAAGATAAGACTTTTTTTGTGTGAAATTCCAATCATAATTGAAACAGAGCTTTTGAGTTTTACACTAGAGATAAAAACGACATAATTAATTTTTGAAGCTGTTTGGCCCCATCACATTATACAGCAATTTGGTGAGGACTCCAGCATCTCAGGAGATCTGTGGATAAAATAAACATGAAATATTGGTTCTCTTTTCGGGTCGGGAAGATCAAACCTAATTGAGAAAATGAGATATAAAGGAGGAAAGAGGAACTCACATTTGGCCTAGACTTGCGAAATCAAACCCGGGATCAATCTCTTTAACTATATCGCTTGGGGGTTGTCCGCATTCTTGCATCTTCTGCATGATCTCCATTATCTTAGATGAATTGTTAGGTTCATTCTCGTATACCGCATTGAGTTCTTCTATTAGTTTGTACTGTTGTGAATAGCGTTTGTAGTCTTCTTTGGTTAGACTGGCTTCATTCTCTTTTAGCCATTTCGGATATCTTGCACCAAGCTCCTTCATTGGTTCGTGAAGAATATCCTTCGACAATAGCTGTTGCATCATCGTTTCGACTATTGATTCCAAGTCCTATGCAAAAAACAAGAGGATAGTCAACAAAGAGACAGTTACCAAGTAGATAATGAGCTCGATATAACCTTAACATATCATAAAGAACAAATTCTACCAAACAGCCACCAATCTAACACAGTGCAGTTAAATCATAACCTTGAAGACACAGGAGAAGAAGAATCACACATCTGTTCCGCGCTGACAACATTATCCAGCAGAATAGAAATCACATTGTTCTGCTAAAATCTACTTCTAGTAGTGAAGTAAAGACGGTCCAATAGTTGCATCAGATAAAAGACGACTATACTTTCGAGTTTCAATTCAATTAAGTAGAGACAGATTCAGTTTCAGGGCATTTATTTACCTGGGATCCAGTAAGATCCTCGAATTGCTTGAGAAGATCCTCAACCATTCCATCATCATCAGAAGCTGGCAGCTGCTTAGAAGAAATGGATTCCAATCCTTTGACAGTTTCCCTAGTTTGTTCCCTAAGCTTATCAAGAGCTTCAGCAACATGATCCTCTTTGGAAACCTTTTGTTTTCCTTTCTTCTTGATTCTCATATCTGGTAATCCCATTCCAAGACCTTGAACTCCACTTGGTAATAGAACCGTCTCTTCTTTCTTCTTCTTCTCCTCCTCTTGCGCTTCCCTTTGATTTCTACAACAGCACATCCCGAAAAGGACTCAAAGTTAATAAAAACAAAGAAATCTCTAACTTAGGAATTGAAAGTCTCTAAACTCAATCAAAAACATATACACAGAGCAGTTCATATATAAAAAGTTTGAGACTTTGGAGCTAAACAAAAAGGAGAAAGGAGTAACCTTTGAGAAAGATTGAGATCTTTGAAATCATCCAATGCACCTGAGAGACAAAACCACAGAGAAACCCCAAAATTCTCACAGAATCAATAAAAACCCTAAAAGACAAAACCTTGCAACAATCATGAACAAAATTTAGATAGAATTCGAGTAAACGCCGATCAAATTGAAGAGGAAACTTACTATCGAGAAGCTCGTCTAAGTCATCGGTGTGAGTGTTGGACATTTTCCTTAGGCGTTTCTCTTCCTCTCTATCTCCCTGTCTAAACAATTCGAATATGGGAGTAGGAAGAATATCAGAGAGAAGAGAAGAGAGAACGATTGACAGAGGAAGAAGAAACCTTTTTTTGGGTTTGCCTTGTTTTAGACGGTGCGATTGAATTGATGTGACGACGCTTCTTTGAGTTGCGGTGAAGCAAAAGGACTCCATCCAACGGCTGAGATCACTTTTTTGTCCCCAATTAAAAAATCACAAAAAAAAAAAGAGATCTTTTTTAAAAAATTGCTCTCTGAAGAATTTCAGAGTCTCAGCAATGGCTGCTTCTCGTCCGTACATTTTACTTCTTCTTTGCTTCCTGTGGCTGTCTCATCAAACGCCGTTAAGAAAGCGATTCGCATTGTTTTAGCTCTGTTTTTCCGATTTGCTCTGATGGAGTGTTTAGGGTTTTCAGTACTAGAGCTTCTCAAGTTAATGATTCTGGATCTATTGATCAGACCCTTATGCAATCCATGGAGAAAAAGGTGAGATTTTGTATTTTCTCCATTGTTAGGAATCATAACTTATGATCTTCTTTAGAATTGATGTTGCTGCCACATTATATATATATTTGAAATGGTTGAAATTGGGTTTCATTGAGCTAACTAAGATCACATTAGAAGAAATCATGAACCAGGAGGCATGCATTTGATTGCTTGTGTTTAGGCTTGAAGAAATGTTTGTTGATGAGGTTTTCACTGCGCAGATCAAAGAACAACTGGATGCAGGCAGAGTCGGTTTCTGTCAAAAATATGTCTGTTGACGGACGACGTGTATGGTAAGTCTTGCTTAACTCTTTATTCTTTGGTCAATCATATACCAAAAAAGTTTATACATTTCCAAGTTGTGAGATGATCTGTGTGTTGGAGACTTCTGTTTCTGAGATGAAGATGGACCACTTTTTTCACTAAGCACCTGCAACTTTAGAGCCCATCTTCTTTAGTGTGAATAAAGTCTCGATTCGAACAAGCTGCAGAAAAATAATTGAAGTCTGTTAAAATAACTCTGGCTTGATTTATCATTGTTCTGGTGCAGCATTAACGTGCTAACAGCGGCGTTCATGGGGAAATCCTCAGTGAACAGGCAGAGGATGATGTATGACAACAAAGACTCCTTCAGAAGTTTGAAAAGCTTACACAAGTGTGACCAAAGCTCTGAATCTGTTTTTGGTCCAAACTTCAGTGCCAACAATGTTTTTCTTCAATCTTGCTTCCAATTATCCTGGAGTAAAGAAAATGACAGCATAAAATCAGCCAGAAGAAGATGTTTCTGCCTTCATTGACTATGTCTTCAGACAGGTAATACTTATATTATCTAGTAAACATTTCATCGCCTTACCAATCGGACACAAGTTAGATTAATACGGAAAGTATTGATAGAAGTGCATGATTTAGTCTGCTCAATACCGGAGTTGGTGACGAAATGTAGTATACATGCTTCTTTATGCTAGGTGAATACAAAGAGAGGACATACATCATAAAAACCCAACTCTTGTTAATTTACTAGTAATATCTGAGGAAATCCTCTTCTTTGACAGAGATTCTCCGAGACCGGTGGTCGGAAATCAAAGGAAAGAAGAAATTTGGCCGCAATTCCGTCAAGACATGGCAGCAACAAAGATAGAGACAGGGATAACAGTTTGTGGACTGCTCGAGTGGAAGTCTATCGTCAATGTTTAGCTCACCGGACACAAGAAGCTCATGGTAGCACAAAAAGACTCATCAGGTATTGAGAAGTTATCAGATTACCTGTTTGGTGGAGTTGAACCGGTTTGGAAACGCGATCTTCATGATTATCTGCCCAAACATTTTATTGAGTCTGATGACCAATTTTTGAATTTATACCAATTTTTGAATTTATACCAATATATAAGCACAATTTTGAGTCTGATGATCAAATGTTGACTTTATACCAATAAGCAAAATAAACTGCACAATTTTGTTAGTCATTAACTCATTAAGCATTGTTTGATTGATATCAAGGCCTTTGGTAGTAACTCTGTTTTGTGGCTTTAGGTCACTAGTACATAGAATTGGTTATGGTTCTCCCAAACTCATATAATGTCCGGAGCTGCGCTTGGTAAGTAGAACCTAATCCTGGCTCCGGAAACGCTCTTCTTCTTCGAGGTACGTTTGATTTCTCCTCTTTTTGCTGTCTAATCTTTCCCTTTGGGAGGGAGAAGAAATTATTCCGATGAGGACGAGGGGTTAGGTTTACATAGATTTTGAAATTAGAATTGATTTAGGTTCGGTTTACATGGTATTGAAATTAGAATTGATTTCGGTTCGGCTTACATTGGTTTTGAAGTTAGAATTGTCGGTTTACATTGCAATTAATAAGGTTTGAGAACCAAAAAAAAGACACGCGAGGGTTTTTTAGAAAGGAGCGAGTGTGTTTCAAAACAGGCGATTTGGTGGGTTTACACTAGGCATGGGCACGAAGCGGATATCCGGAAAATTTAGGATATTCGTTATTCGATTCGTTTAAACCGAATACTTGATTTTGTGATTTGCTTTGATCCAAAAATTTCCGGATATTCGGAATATCGAATATCCGGATTTTTTTGTGATATTTGCGAATATCCGCTTTGATACTTCTGCACCTATTAAAACCCTGAAAAGCTAAGCGTTCGCGTATAAAACTACGAAGAAAAAGATAAAATTTGGAAAAAAGAAATCGTCGGAGGATTTCAACTTTTTATTTTTAAGGGATATTAATTTTTATTTTATAATAAATTTCACTTCACTAATAAAAACTATTAAATTATGTCACAAACAAAGGTCCGAAAGATAAAAAATGAGTTTACAAAATACAAGTAAAAATATATATTATGATATATATATATATATATTTTTTTTATTTATCGAAAATTATGGATCGAAGCGGATATCCGACTTTTAGAAAAACAATATTTGTTATTTGCTCCGGTTTTTACGAATACTACGTTTTCCTATTTGCTTTGCTTCAAAATTTTACGGATATTCGGATTTTTCGAATCGAATCAAAATGAATATCGAATGGAAGCGGATCTAACGAATATTTTGCCCAGGTCTAGTTTACATCCACAGAAAACGGAGACACGCGCTCAACTCGCGAGTGGTGAGAGTGGGCGTGAAATCGCGCGATGGGTGAGAGAGGGGTGTGACATGGAGCCATCTGATTGGCTAATATAATGAAAATAGTAGAGATGTAGCTCCTACCTTCCTATGATAATATTTATTACTTCACTTTTTGTTCACAAGAAAGAAGCTAATGAATTATGAAAATTACTACTTCCGTCAAACAAAAGATAGTCAGATGATTAGAAAAAACTTTTAGACAAATTTTGAGCTTGTTTGTATTATTTGCCAGCTGAGAATGTAATTAAGATTTCTTCAATCTCATGAAAGTTGGTGTTTTTAGATACAATTGAGACTCTTATTCTGAGGTTTTTGGGTTCTTTTGAAATCCTTTGATGTCACCAAAAATATTTTGTGAATTTTGTATGCTGGCAAAGTTTCATTCAACAATTCTGTGTTCATAGAGGATTCAAAAACAACTTTTTGGAAAGTGATTTTGACAATACTTTTTTTTAACTCTCTTGATAACATCACTTCATTGACCACTGTGGTTTCAAAAGGGATTGCTCACACACTGTTTTGTTTTTTTGTATTTTTTTCATTGTTACAGCATCTGAATAATCTTCCATCTCGTTTTAAGAAAACAGAGTTTTTGATTTCTTCAGTCCTCTGTTCTTGAGAGGTCGCCTGGGTGGTGACTAATCGCTGAAATAGCCAACCATATACATTCAGAAAACTGCCATTAGAAATCCACAAGGACAACCTATGACTGCAGCTTTCCATCAAAACACTGTTTCCTCTTTATCTTCCTCTGGCTGCTTGGTCTGTGTAGAGCATGGTTCTTGGATTTGCATTCCACATAGTTTGTTGTTGTTCGCGTAAGTGTTTGGATCGTTCAATCTGTCTAGCTGAGGACTCTCAGGGATTCTACCTGTAAGTTTGTTGTTTTTCAACTCCGATACATTCAGCTTGCTGAGCTTGGAAAGTGTCTGCGGGATTTCGCCTGAGAGGTTGTTGTGTGAAAGGTCTAAGATCTCTACCTTCTCAAGATTTCCAAAACTTTGTGGGATCAATCCAGAGATGTCGTTGTATGAGAGGTTAAAAGCTTTCAGCTTTTGAGATTGCCTAAAGAATATGGAACTTCTCCGAATAGCTTGTTCTAGGAGAGTTCTATCAGAGTGTAGAGGTAGAGGTTTCTGTTGGCAAGACCATGTTTTGAATTCTTCCAGTTCACTGATAAGTTGTGTATTTCGATAGTGAAGTTGTACTTGAAAGGCAAAGGCGAAGACGAGCTCGGGAGAGATTATTTCATGCTTCTGAGATTCCCAAGAGATGAAGGGAGAAATCCATCAAGATTGTTCTCAGAGAGATCCAATACCTTGATCCTGAGAAGTTGTTTTCAGTCAGCATCAATGTCATGACCCATGTTTCTCCTAACATATCAGGAATCTGACCAGAGAAGTTGTTTCTTGATAGCGCAAGAACCGATAAGCTTATAGACTGAAACAAACTAGGAGGCAATGAACCTGAGAGTCTGTAGTCTGAAAAAATTATGGTTTCGATTTTTAGATCAGCCAACCATTGGGGAAAACTTCCTTCAAGTTTGTTCATGCTCAGATCCAGGAAAAGAAGAGCTGTTTGATTCTTGAGCCAATCCGGAATTTTTCCTTCTAAATCACAAGATCTAAGTGACAGATGTGTTAACTTAGACTGTGCATAGAGAGAGCCATTCTTGTTCTATTGGAGTTTGTTTCCTCCTAACCGCAATATCTTCAGCTTCTGAAGACCAAACAGCCATGTGGGAATCTCACCTGACAAGCCATTGTTATTCTCAAGCTCAAGGGTTTCAAGATTTGTCAGATTCTGAATGGACAATGGAATTCCACCAGACAACTTGTTCAAGCTCAAAGACAGAGTTGATATATTGACTAACTTGCCAATACCGTCGGGAATCTCAAAAGACAATGAGTTGTTCTGGAGATCTAATGTTTCATGCTTCGTCAACTGTGATACAGACAATGGAGTTGTTTGATGCTCATTGTCACCTCCAAGACAAGAGGGTCATGACGAAGCCTCTCAGCTCATATCTGCTGCTTTAGCTGTCGGTGTTACCAATTTCGCAGTCGATGGAACCTCCGAGGTATTTTCCCAAATTTTCCTGATCGTTTAGTCACGATTATCTACTATAGTCATGTATACATATTTTAAACGGGTTTTGTTATGGAGACAGCAAAATTGGGACTTGGTGACAGGGATGGGAGAGACGTATCCTTCTGTTGTTCCTTGCTTTGGACTTCATCCTTGGTAATGTAGACGTATCCTTTTCTTTTCTATGTTTTTGGTTTGCAGGTTTATTGCTAATAGAAGCCCTCATTGGTTTAACACATTGAAGAAGTTCTTTGAGACCACCCTACTGCTGCTGTTGGAGAAGTTAGTGTCTTTATCTCTGATTCATCTAAACTAAAATCTATCTCTTTACTTTTTTTTTCTGAATTCTGAAATGTTTATTTTGTTGGTTCAATATTAAGTATAAATTGTAATGTATGATATTTTAGAGTGTACTGAAACCTCTTTTGGCTGAGATCTCATCAAATTAACATCTTCATAAAATTTTATGTGATTTTGCAGATTGGTTTAGACAAAGGTCCCTTAGCAGGAGGAATTGATTACTCGGACCAGCTAGTCGTGTTTCGCCCACAGCTTGAACTTTCAAAAGAACTAAACTAACCAGTAGCAGTTCATTGCATCGATGCATTCTATGATCTCCTAGAGATAATGAGGTGTGTATAGATACATATCTACATGTTGCATTTACAAAGATATTGCACTAAGTTTCTCGAAATAAATAGACACAGATCCGTAGGGCCTTTTCTTGCTGGTGTGATTCTTCATTCATTCAATGGTTCAGCTGAAGTTGTTCCTAAACCCAATTAGCTTGGTGCATACTTCTCTTTCTCTGGCTGGTTCACTTACATTGGTGAGAAAATTGCGAAGAAGACTTTGAAATCGGTTTAAGATCAAAGAGACAAAAGAACAATCGTCTTCTGCTTCTACTGTTGTGTGTTATTACTTGGATAAGAAAAACTCATTCAATACCAAAATTATGTTGTTATCTGTTGCTTACTTGGTAGAAGTTGTAACAATGTATCTTCTTCTTATTGACTTGTGTAAACCAGTTATGTTGTTTGATTTTTTCGATAGTTTACATTTTCTCTTTTAAATCCCCTTTCTGAGGAGAGATTTGTTTTGCATACTTGTGTGATCTACAATAAAACAGATCAACCGAAGAACATAACTAAACACTAACACTCTAAACACTCCAACAGGAGACATCAAACGCCACACACACACACGGAATCTCGTATAAGAAGAAGCAATGCCAATCCTTCCACTGCATTATTAGTTTTATCTGAAACTGATTTAGTCAATAACATTAAGATATCAAAGCAACCTATAAACGGACTAACGAGTTTGCAAGAGAGAAGACAACAAAAAGAAAGGATGAAATGTCTGAGAATCTTCCAACATATGTCGTCTTCAAAAATATGTTATCCTCCTCCACACCAGACTTGCCTCTACATATAAGATTGGTGTTTCAATGCAGCAGTTTAAGGTACTCGATGTGCTCCTGCTTTCATGTTGTGATCTCAGAATCAGGCTGCTTCACTCTCGACACATAAAGCACAGCATTGGTAGATTGATGTCAACCTGTGCTGTATCAATCAAGTCCTCAGAATCTGGCTTCTGCTCCACAAACCAAGATTGCCTGTAGCGAACATGTTAGGAACAGAGACTGTTTTGTATACAAAGAAACTCAGTATTATTGAGGAAATCTAAATTAAGAAGGTTTTTGATTAGAGGACTATAACATGAGGAACAAAGAAGACTGAAGACGATCAACTTTTGAGAGTGAAAACCAATTAAACAATCCAAGTACGGCAGAGATGAGAGTCAAGATGGAGACGATCAATCACGGTGGCCTCACGCTAGGCTTCTGATGGGCTTTTTTGTATTGGGCCTTCTTTGCTACCAAATCCAAGGTATTACTTTCTTCATTCTTTTTTTTTTTTTTTTTTATCTTTTCTTTACAAATTATTTTAAATAAAACTAAAACTAATTAGTTTAAAACTTTCACTAAAACATTTAACTAACAAAAATTTTTAAGACTTTTAAAAATTAAAAATAAAAAATCTTATACTTTAAGAAAATAATGTTTTAAACTAAAAACCATGTTAATTTTACTATTACTTTTTAGTTTAAGTGTTAAATTTTAAAAACGTCAAAACTAACCCCGCCTAGGCATCCTGTTTATAGTTGGTCCGTAAGTTTTGGTGTTTGAAGTTCGGTATGTTCTCATGTAATATAGATTTAACACTTAAATTCATTTTTAAAAAATAATAGTGATTTTGACTAAAATTTAAAACAAATTTAACCCTTAACCGTCGTCTCCGGTAACTGCTTTTCTCGCTCAGCTCTCTTTTTCTTTGTCTTCGTTGACTAGTTAGTCCTGAAATTAGGGTTAACGTGGTGGTTCTTTTGTTTCCTGTAACTGGATCGTTGAATTAGTTGCAATGAGTTATAGATTCTCTCATTGCAGGGTTCTCCAGTTCATCGCTATATTCATGATTTCTCCCCTATAGAGCCAGTATATCCAGCGTGTCCAGAGAATATCTTGCACTCATCATTGGCTACTACATCTTCATCACCTCTATTCATTAGTTCGCCGCAGTTAAACTTTTACCGAGATTCCAGTTTCTCAGTCCAAAGGTATAACCTGATTCTTTCTTTTAGTTGTCTTGTTGACAGGACAAAGATTTGTTGTTTGGTTTTATATATGCTGACCCTGGTATTCTTGGTGTGGTTATGTTCCTTCCTTAGGGATAGTTCTCTGTATCTATATGGTCCACTCGTTCTCACTGGTGAGAGTGTAAAAAACTCATCAGATGTTCTGGAAGCTGTAGAGAACGAAGCTATATTGTTTTAAGGGAGGCCCAAGAAGAACAAGATTGCAAAAACCATCCCACATATTTCTGTACGCAAAATAAAAATCTCTCAAACCAGCTTGGTGTTTACCTTCGAAGTCGAACCATGTAATCTTGGAGGCGTGACAACTGCAAATACTCTTCAACTTGAGCCGTCACAGAGTTGCGCTGAAACAGTGAAACAGATAGTTAAATTTACTCAAGAGACTTAGAGAAACTTGGGTTATGTTAAGAAATTCAAGAGACGAGGAAGATACAGGCGTACAGCCCAATCGCAAGGTAACCTTACGAATATTTACTTTTCTTTGATTTTATCAAATGGTAAAACTTTTGCAATGACCTTTGCGTGGTTCCTAATATGGTCAAGTGGGCCTAACTCGAAATTGGGAGAGCTCCAGTAGAGCGTCATATGCCACTACACTAAGACGTAATTATAATGGATATGCCCCTCATAAAACATTATAAAGCACCTCCAAAGAACCGTGCAAACCAAACCAAAAACCCAAAATGTTTTTCCGGCTTGATTTTTGATTTTGATTTTGTTTTTTGATTACTAAAATTTGATTTTCAATTTTGAAACTACTTTGATTAAGAAACTGATTTTTTAATTTGATAAATGAAATTCAAAAATTTAATAAATAATCATGTTTTTTTATTCCATTTGCTTTCTTTCTCATTGGTAAAACTTTGATTTGAATAGTCTTCATTGGTAAAATTTAAAATTTAGCCTTTCACTCAGCGGTGCAAAAGTTGGCCACTGCAAATTTTTAGGCTAAATGATCTTAGAACTCTTGAAGTTGCCAAGAGGTTATTGACAATCTGCTATCAACTGAACCGGAAGTTGTTTGGTTTATGTTTGTTGTTTCGATTGTGGCCGAATACATTCTATTTATCATTTCCTAAATATTCAGTCAATTTTTTTTAATAATCTTGTGTATTTCCATTTTTTTGATAAAAAGGTTCTTTTATAGTATAAGATTTATTAATAATTTACCAAGTAATCTTGTATTCATGCAAGTCAGTTTTTGTTTTATATTAAAAAAATCTGTATTTATTTTTTGATTATTAAAAAAATATCTTTTATTGAATAAGATTTATTTATAATTTGCCCAGTAATATCGCTAAAGGAAGAGTTTCGATATTTTACTTTTTCTTTGAGAAATCCCACAATATCATAACAGTAGTTCCTAAATTTCAGCAAGAACCACACTTTTTCTTCTAACGTCTCTTTTTTTCTTTTTTCTTTTAACTTTTGATTTAATCTTCAGTATTGAGGAATGCTTTTAATTTGTCTTGTTCTCTGGTTTTTTTCTCCATTGTTGCAGAACCACGTCAAAAACAAGCTTCTGTTCCTTGGACAACAAGTTACAGTCGTATATTAGTGTTCCCAAACATATACAATCTCTTCATTCTGTAGAAAGGCTACTACAAAATGTCAAATAGATCTTTGAAGAACCCATCGAACCAGTAAGACTCTTAATCTCTTCCAATATTCGTGTTAATTTTATGTGAAATATTTATTAAACCTAATGTTAATCGTTTGTAGAAATTCAAAGTCACCAGATCTTGACCTCTATGTGAAAGGCGTCCATTTTCATCTTCACAAAGTAGGCTTTTGAATCCGATTTCGCTGAGATTTGTCTCTTTTTGTGGTTACTTCTGATTTCGAGGGTTTTGATTTTTGACGTTGGTGTTTATTTAGGAGACTTTAGCTAAGAGATCGGCGAAAGTGACGACATTACTCGAGTGTAACAAGCTCCATGAACTGCGTTGGATCCTCAGAGACATGGACATCAACCCGAGTATCTTCCACCTCGTGACTAGATTCTGCTATGGCTACAAAATCGATTTATCAGCTGACAACATCGTCTCTGTGCTATGCATTGCTTATTACCTAGATATGAGCGATGATCATAGCTCTAACAACTTGTTGAACAAGGCAGTAACTTTCTTGGAACAACGAGTTCTCATGAGCTGTAATGAAACCGTGAAAGCTCTTCGTATCTGCAGCGATAAGATTCTGGACAAACTAGCTGATGTTGGACTCATCGAAGTTTTCTTAGATTCTCTTGTCGAAAAGGCTCTCAACGATACTAGGTTGCTCCAAGATTTGATTACATTACCACTTCGGTTATATGAACCCTTGATTCTAGAGTTGAGTAAGCACAATGTCTCGATAGAAAAATTTGTAGCATCGGTCTGCAATTACGCAAAAAGATGGGTTTTCGAGAAAGATGACGGAAGCGTTTCAAGGAACAAGAGAGAAGTAATTGAAGCTGTTGAGAAGCTTTTGCCTCACGAAAGAGGAATAATCTCGTGTGGATTTCTGTTCAAATCTCTGAAAGAATCGATTTTTCTTGATGCTTGCTCTGATTGCCGAAAAGGGTTTGAAGTTAGGATCAGTAACCAGCTCGACATGGCTAGAGCAAAAGATCTCCTGATTCTATCACCAACAGAAGATGGATCTTATGACATCGAGCTCTTGAAAACCATTCTCAAGAGCTTCTATAGTAACTATAGTGTCTCGGATCTTTCGCGGTTTGTGAGTGTAGCGAGAATGTTGGAAGAGTTTCTGTTGGAGGCTGCTGCGAGTGATGCTGATTTAAGGGTAGGAACATTCAAGGAATTAGCAGAAATAGCGGTTGCTGCGTCTTGTGATGTGCTGAGTTACTCCGATGGAATATACAGAGCGATTGATGCTTTCTTGGAGAGGCATAGAGATTTGATTGAATCGGAGAAGATGGAAGCTTGTAGATTTCTTGAATGTAAGAAACTTTCGCCCGAGGCTTGTGAACATGCTTCAAAGAACGAGAAGCTTCCATTGCGGATTGTTATGCAAGTTTTATTTGTTTCTCAGATGCAGATTCGCGATAAGGTGGCTAGAGAAATGAAAGGTGTAGTAGAGGAGAAAACACAGGATCAGGTACATGAAGATGATGAAGTGGAGAGTATGAGTAAGAAGTTGTTAAAGCTCGAGATAGAACCTGACTATAGCAAGAAAAGAAAGATTGATAATCTTGAATGTGTTGTTTATTGCGAGAAGAAGAAGACAAGTGTGTGGAGAGAAGTAAAGAGGAAGTTTGGTTGTATGACTTCTTCTACCATGGATGCTTGCAATTGTCATTTCAAGAAGAGGAAGAAGACTTACCATCTCTACAAATAACAGATAATCACTATTTTGTTTTGTTAGAATTTGCTTTTGTTCCCTTTAAATCCTCTGTTTGTTCTGTTTTTCCTCTGTTTTGTTGAATCCTCT